ACTAATGCATGTAACAGACCTGTGGCTGCAAAGAAAATATCAAATGCATTTACTTAACATGCAGCTTGACCCCAAAACATGTTGGTAATGAACGGGTCTACAGTCCTGCCATTCATAAATAAACCTAAATGCCCTAATATTTCATTACTCATTACTTGTATGAACATGACTTCGACCTGTTCAGTCAGATTCCCAAAGTTTTTATTTATTTAGTCTTAGTATTCTAAGTAACTAGTAAGTAACTATTGTTTCAGGTCTAATTTGTGCTCATGGTTAATCCATTGAGATTATTGCAGAGAAAGAACTGTTATGTAACTATTAAACCTGTTCAAAACCTATTCACAAGAAGCTACATACTTTATCCCATGGCGGCAACTTATTAGAAATAGAGATACTATTACATCACTCTAAATTTGGACTAACCCAACATGAATGAATAGAACGTTTCTCTAAATTTCCTGTTGTATGTATGGAATGGGTAAACAGAGCACCAGGGCATGCTCTTATTGGATCCAGCTGGGCCTGGACAGAGGTTGCTGCATTCAGCTGGCCCCAATTCCCCAAGACATGGGAGTAAAACAAAAGACTCTGTGTTTATCAGACAAGAGTTTCCATCACTAGAGCGTGACATGAAAGGATACATGTGCTATTTTATACGTTCGTATTTTGAGGCCTGTTATAAAAATAGATAGCGGTGAGGGATAACCAAAAATGATCATAATCCCTTCAGGTCTTTTGATGTTTTTACTAATCTCAGAAATTACAGCCACAGTCAATGGAATAAATCACCATAATTCTTGGACTATGCACAAAAACCAAATGTTGCTCATAAATGATGTAACTGCTCTATTAGCTAAAGATGATTCATAGCGATAAGGTATAGGGTCGCTAGTTACATTGACACCGTCTGTCTGCAGGAAAATCCTCCAATTTCCTGTAGACGCTGAACTTCTAATATCCATTGTAATGTTGGGGTATACCGGCCAGCTGACTTCTATTACCCACCACTGGTCTGGAGTAAAAACAGTCACAGTGTCTATCCACACCTGTCAATGGTTATAGATGAGGTCCAGGATGGCAGTCACATGTGATGAGTGGAAGAAAATCAACTTATAAAACACTAATAGAAAAACTTGGATTGCTTTTTTAAAAAACAAAACAAAAAAAACCCATCTACTCTTTTTAATTTCTCTTTCCACCAGAGCTCATTCAGGGTTTCCATGAAACAGGCTCTTGGCCTGAATACAGAATGGAAGGTCTTTGCTTGGATTGGAAGGAGGTGCGTGTTGAACTGCTGTCAGGTAGGAAATCTGTGATAAAAATTACGGTGCTCTTGCCTTCAGGCGCTCCGTCCCATAGGCCAACTTGAAATGGGCTCTCAAGCCTTTAAATGTTAAGGACCACCAGCATAGGTATCAGACCACAAACCCCCTATGCTTCCCAAGAAAATATATCTGGAAAGACTTTACAGAACAATTACATAACTTACACCCTACGTTGCATGGGAAAGGATGGATGCTGACAGCTATTACTCACCCCCTTTCTTCTATCAATGTGCATTAAAGGATATCCTTTCCATTTGTCTAGTTGTCAACAAATCCCATGAAAAAACCAACGTGTCTTTGTAGCCATAGCCTAATGTAGCTTATTCCGCTGTGCCATAGAGCTCCATTCGTGCCCAAAAACTATTAAAAGCACATCACTAAGCCACAACTATGAATATTGGAACTGTAGTTCATTTCGACTTAGTCCATATACACCATGGTCTGCTGCTGTTAACACTTGCTAAGACACTAAATGTATATTAATCCGCAAGTGTTACTCAGCTTGAGTGATATTTGTTGAAAGCTACAGTACCCCGCTGTTTTAGGAAATTACTTAGCCTTATTAAAAAATGAATCTATGTATTTGTGACCTGTTTTTTTTAAAGATACACATCTTCAGTAAGAATGAATGGACTTGGTTGTGAGTGCTATAAACTGGTGGGAAGTCAAAGTACTCAGAGACTGACAAATGAATTGTTAGTTTTGGTTTTTAGTATTAATGAAAATACTGAATTTTGCCAGCCTTCTCCTCAAAATGAAAGAATTTTGAAGAAAATAATTGTTTCTAAAGGAGTAATAGTTTAGGCCAATGTGTTACCTTTGGACAGAGCTGTTTCCCCCTGATTACAGACTTTATGCTATGCTAAGCTAAGCTAACTACCTGCTAGCTGTAGCTTCATGTTTACACTTGGCAATAAAGTAAATAGAGTATTTCATAAAATGTTGGACTATTCCTTTAAACTACTCCTCTTCTTACTTGGCCTCCGTTGGCATGCCTTCAAGAACACTTGGCATCCCTGGTTCTCAGTTTGAGAGCCACCTCCATAGGCTGCTACAATAGTCATTACAAACCCCATGAAACTGTACACCCCCGATTGGAGATCTTCCTCTGCACTCCTCCACAGGCCGCGAGGACATTGCCCTTCTTGTCTGTGAACTAAAACTTGCGGTAACAAAAGCTCACATCCGACATAGCTCAGACAGGTACATGGGAAGTTCTCTTTCAAAGCGGTGCGCTCCCTTCCTTCCTGGCCCTGAGAGGACGAACTGTGAGGGGGCTCTGTGTGAGCAGGAGGGATCCAGTTGCAGGCAGCTGAATCGGTGCTCTGTTGGGTCTCCCCTGGACACTGTCATAGCGTGTTTGCTGAAGGCGGGTCAATGAGGACTTTCTTTGGCAGAGGAATTTCACAGCACACGACAGTGCAGACATGCACACAGACACACACACACAGACACAAACTGGAACCAGTGAAGCCCTGCAACCCAGATCCATGTTACTGTGGTGAGAACGGAAGTGGATGTTGGTGAAGGAAGGCTGTCACTAAAAGCTGGTCTATTGGTTCCTTGTATCTTCTTAAGCTTGGTGGAAGAGGTTATACCAGCCCTCTCACATCAAATAAAATATATTTCAAAAAGATGGCCATTTATTGGTAAGGTGATTCATGAAGGTTTTTCAATGTGATTGGGCCTCACCTGAACTGTACACTTTCATACAAGGAAGTAAAAAGCTCTGGATCCCAACATCATGTCCTGTGGTTTTGGTTCCAACAGTTTGTGTGTCCCAAAAATTTCAGGCTTTTGCATGTTGCCAAGTATGCTTGCTCATGGTGGGAATTGTTGGGTCTCTGTAATCAATACTAAAATAGTACACTTTATGTAAATATATAAATACAAATTGACCAATAAATCGAGCGGCTTTATTATAGCTTATCACAGATGTATACATATAAATGCCAAAGACCTGCCTGTGCAATTTAGAAACAGTGTTGCCATTACACAGTTGTTTGTCAAAACAATCTCAACTCAAGGTCCACTTACATGCTTTTTGTGGAGCTGTTGAAGGTCTCACATGGTCTTCATTAGCAGCTAGATTTTGCTCAATTGCTGTAGGTAATCAGTCCACACAACACTTCCTCTGTACACCATGTTGTATTCACCAAATGTTCTCAACAAAAAAAAGGCCTTTTTCACAGCAGAGAATTTTGACTTTGAAAACAAAAAAAGCACAGGCGTTGCTAATAACCTTAATGATGGCTTTGTTCTTTTTGAGCCATGACAGTAGAGGGTAGACTGATTGTGTCAAAGCGACATGACTAGGCTGAATGCTCCTTCGAATGCAGCTGAGAAATGCAGCCTACTTTTCCTGGGCAATGAAGGCTCCAACGGGTTGGTACGTCATTGGCCTAACCTATCCCAAGATTCAGCTGCACGCCGGTAATGAAAATAATATGGCAGCAAACAACACTGAGAGATCCCGAGGATTGCACTTTTAAATGTAAGTATGAGGTTTCAGCTCAGTTCAACAACAAACTGTACAACTGATAAAAAACCACAAACCAACCAAAACCTAAAAAAAGTCACGTGTTGTCAAAGTTGCTAGGCGACAGGACCCGCACTCTCCTCCTCCGTAGGACAGACCGTCTCATTTCAGTTCGGCCTATACACAACACAAAGACCCTGAAGCTGACGCAGCTAAATGTAATTCAACCAGTCATTATTTTATTATTTACACCTGTGCTTTTCTCACTAAAAATGTCTTTTCTGAAAATTTGCAATTTAATTTTTAACGTTGGTCATTAATTGTGAAACTTAAAAATAATTTACAGAGGGTTTTTGGTGTCTGTTGAAGGTTTCCTGTAGGTCTGTGTTAGGGGTGGTTAAGGGGGCCCGGACTCATGGGCTCTGTATTTCTAAAATCCTGTGTGTGGCCCTGAACATGCTCCAGCTGCATCAAGCAGCTTGAGACTAGAAGATGTATGTGTTCGGTCATTAATAACCCTACAGCATTTCTGCCACTGACTGACCCACAAACACACACAACATATATGTCACACTTACAATCTGAGAGGACCCTGCCTGCTTTCTGAAAAGACACACCTTCAGCTGGAGGAACTGCACGGTCGTACAGCTCCAATTTTGTTTCCCTCGATGTCAGCTGAGGGCGACAGAGGGAGGTGTTCCCCCTCCCCGGTTCTCAAGATTTCCCTCCGTCCACAATAAACTTTCATTTTGGGAAGTCGGCACACACATAACACACACACACATACACACACACACACAACGGCGGTCGTCATCTTGTCCTGCATCTGTTTCCCGGGAAAGCTGTACTGGACTTGACTTGACGTTCGTTGTACTTTGCAAAACGCGCGAAAGGAAGACGGAAAAAACATAGGAAGCGCACAGGTGGAGCTCTCCGGAGCGTCTTTTTTTAAATTTGCTATCATCTTCTGGAAGGAGACTACAGGGATATTAAAAAAAAGGGACAAGACAATGCAATGACAGAAAGCTGCCTTTTCACTGCCGGTTAATCCCAGTTTTTGGATGTGTTGTTTTGTTTTTGTTTTCCGGCTCGTTCACTCCTCGCGCGGCCCCTCAAGGAACACCTGGAATGGAAAAACTTTATCTGGCTCGTCTGGACTGTAGTAAAAACTCCCAAGAAAGAATGAAGTAACCGCTATGGAGCCGGACAATGCCCCGTACTCCAAACTCAAAACCACTGGAGTCGGGGGGTGAGTCGATACATTTTAAAGTTTAAACTAAATGGATGCTTTCGTCTCTCTCTTTTTACGGGTTATCAGGTTCGAGAGGAAGTCATTCATATGCTCATGAACATCACCTGTGTCCGAATTAAGGGTACCATGTACATTTGACAGTGATATTCCGTGTTTTGTTGCTAGTAGCGTTGATTTAAGTTGTAATATTTTCCACAAGTGGTCTGAAAAACTTGCTGCAGAATTTGCTGACAGTTATTCTGAGAAATTGCAGAAAATATCAGAGTTAATACTTTAAACAATTAGTTATAAATTGGAACAGGTGGTGCACTTTAATATGCTGCAGGTGAGCTTATGGAGACAATTTTTCTCTGCTCTTGACACGGTTTAGTGGACGCCAGTGTAGTTTGCTGTACTGTTTTTGAGGTTGTGTCTTTGCAGCTTGTATCAGAATGAGCCGCCAGACGATCTGGGACTGATTTGAGGGAGATGTATGAGAGGAGGAGAAAGTCTTCTCCTTCCCTTCCTCCTCCTCTTTTTCTCTCCTCCCTGCCCTGCATCTCACTCAGCTGGTTGGCTGTCTGTCCCAATGGGAGGGGAAATAAAAGTAAAATATGTTGCATCATATAACCCTGCTGGACATATGACAGACTTGGTAACGAACTGCACACCCCCCTCCTTTTTTTGTTTCTGTTGCTAATGTCAGTATAGTGTGAGAGCAGTGGGACATAAAAAAGAGGGAGGAAAACTTTTTAAGAGCTTCAACTGGCAGTCAGTGTGGCAGTGGTTGACCAATGGCTCTCTGTGGCTCTCTGGAAAACCACAAATGTAAAAGATTTCCTCTAACTGCTTTCATAATGGCACTTGTCACTGTTCCTGTACCACTTCTAAAACATCCCTTGCTCAACAAGCATCCAGTTTTATGTGGGTGCACACAATGAAATCACAGCTCAAGGAATGTAAAAACCAACATTATCTCTGCGATAATACAAGTTCACACTCTTCAGTGCTAATAGTGTACCTTTTAGAGCCACATCAGCTCTACATGTGAGCAGTCAACACTCCTTTTAACACTTTTAAATGTCACTGAGAAATCAATGGAGGGAAATTTGCTGTGCATTGCCTGATGCGAGGTGATAAATGTCACTGTTGTCATGTGAAAATGGGGTTGATCTAATTCCAATTGGAAGGATTACATAGTCTTTTGTGGGTTGAGAAAAGTCTGCACCATTTTAAATCCATGAAATCCTTTTGAAACCTGCCATCAGAAAGTGCACAGGCTATAATCGAGGCGGTTTCTCTCAGTTACTGAAAAGTTCAAATGTAAGAAATAAAATACAACACTGATAAATGAAATCGGTTACGAATGGCTATATCTTTAACTTGAAATTATAGGTCTTAAAGCGATGAGGTGTGGCGTAGGGTTGTCAGAGGTGGTCCTGTGCGAGCACTCGTCTAACTGCTGAGCAGTGTCTTATCTGGTCAGGCAGGAAGATAAGACGAAGCTTGTTGTTTTTGAAGCAGACGTTAGACTCCTTGAACAAAGCAGAGCTGCTGCTGACGCTTTCACTCATTCTGCAGCAGGTCTGATCACTGTGGTAGGTCACAGTAAGATCAGAGTTCATGGCCAAATTAACATCAAGACTTTTAGTGCATCAGTTTCATCTTTACATGTCACAACTTAGGCTTGTACTATGCTCTGCAACTTCTGATTCAACATTGTGACTTTTAATTAGATGAGTTAGAGATTAATTACGAGCTGAAACAATTAGTTGATTAATCTCATCAGTCCCATGTGCTCGTTAAAGCTACACAAATGCTAAGATTATCTTATTTTTCCTTGTTTTCCTTGTTTGTCATTCTAAAGAATTATTATTCTAAATAAATGAATGAATCATTGTGTTGCTGTTGATCAGACTAAGTAAGAAAATAAAGGGATAAAGGCTATCACTCTGTTTACCTTTGATGGGAATTTATCATTGCTTTTAACTTGTTAGAGAATAAATCATATTTGAAAGATTAATGAATTGTAATGAAATAGTCTCTAAGATTATCTGTACCTTGACTGTCAGCTGTAATGTTCTCAAACTGTTTTCTTTCTCTTTAGGAGAGTTCTGATTCTTTGGACTATACTCTCTTGCACCTGTTCTCTAAGGCTCGCACAAGCACAAGGTAAGTGCGTTTAGGAAAGAGGTGGGTGTATGTCGTTGTTTTATGAGACTTTACTGATGCAAGCACCGTGTTGAACTGGTGGTGTTACAGTGTGAGTGAAGAGGAAATTAAAATGGATTTATGGGAGGTTACAGTGACACTTTCAGGTGTGTCCTGTGCACTACACCACTGTGAGAAATATTCAGATCATAAACTAGGTAATGTCATGAGTATATGCAGTTAAATAGCTGTGGATCACAGAATGAGTGAGTAAATAAGTTGTTACCTTAACAGGGGCCCCTTGTTGTGCACGTTTGTCCAAGTTATCTATGGATTATCTATGACTGCCATCTACACGTCCCCCAGCTTGGGCAGCTGCACATCTGATTCAATATGTTTAGGATGTTGTCTCTGGAAAGTGTTTGTAGGAGATGAGCCGCTCTTCTCAGAACATTTTTCCATTTTTAGTGGTTGTTGTGTGCTGAACACTTGAACTGGATTAGTAGGACACTCCAGAATACAGCTTCTATTTCATGGCATTGTTTTCTGTTGGAGGATGGTGGAATTAGAGCCTCATTTTCTCCTTTCGCTACATCCCATTTTGTAAGTTGAAGCCTTTTGAAACACTGACATCTTAGCAATTTTGCTGAAAGCACTGCACTCCTACCTCTCTATAACTAAATTGTGAAAAAGAATAGGTTTTAAAATATGAGCATTCAGAAATGTTTCAGACATTTATTTTGTTGGAAAGGTTTTTAATTTAATTGGACACAACCTGATGAATTTACAAACCTTCAGTTCTTATGTCTCTAAGCCTAAGCAAACCTCACACCCTTCCTAAAGTCTTAATAAAGTTTAGATGATTCATCAGTCCTGCTTCCTGATGTTGTCCCTGCTCACTTGTAAGGATGTGTTAATTTGCAAACTCAGATCCTAATGAGACTATGAATTTGCGCATGGCTGCACTGGAAAAACGGTCCTGCTGGTGTACTGTAAAAACCTGCAGGTTGGATCATTTGAAAGACAATGTCTGTGTTATGTTATTATTAAGGAGGTGGATTACAGTGGAAATATTGCACATGGAAAATGACAGACTAATGTGTTTCCATGGTGCTGGCTGTACTGCGGCGTATTAAATACCCAATCAAGGATTGGCGTAGTGTCGCCTTTCCCAAGCAGACATCAGAGGTCTACCACGTTTTCACCTCAGACACCAGATCGAAACTTAGCTGTCAATTTAAATTTAGTCCTTTTTGCACAGTTACCATGGTTACACATAGATTAACAGCCAACACATTTCCTCAGAAGGCTCAGGGCCTGATGGAGGTCAGCCACAGTGCAGCATCCCTGGAGCAGATTTTGGGGCTCAATATGTCACTGCAGGTGTAATAGCAACCATCTTCCAGATGATGGCTCACCTGTCAGTGCCAGGAATTATACCTGCAGCCCTGGGGTCACTGGTTGACCCAACACCTCTTGGAGGCCTTACAGGCAGAAAGCAAATTGTCTGAATAATAATAATGATTGTAAATTATTCATATATAACAAGGTAAAGACATATATCATCCATTTTAATGTGGAATAGGAGAGGTTTTGACTGAGCATTCAGACCTTTGCTAATACCTGCTGGCCATTAGTTGCATTCATGTGTGAGTCAGAGGCCAACAAACTACTCCCTGTTTCTCCCTGAGAGTGTAACCCAAAAACATCTTTGGATGCAGAATTCTTGAAATTGTGATTTATGTGGTTGTTTTAAATGTTAAGAACCGGTTGTGTTATTTAATGCCAGCACTTTTCCTGAATGAACAAATTAAGTGTTACATTTTTTTTTAATCTATTTCTATTTTTCTTCTCCACTAGAAGATTTTTTAGTGTGAAGCAGCTGCAGGAAACCTTTAGTGTGTATTGACAGCATACAAATAGTGGAAAAACATTTGTTTGTGCATGTGCCAGCTGTCTGAGAAAAGTTGTGTTGTTTGCCGCACTTGTTCTTTGTCTCCGGGATGTTTTATCCTCGGTTTTCCTTTTTTTTTCTTTTCTCCAGCTCATCAGGAGGTCACAAAAAGCCTTAGGCAGCCTTCCTATCCGCTTAGATTTAGGTATGCAGCGAAAGCCGTGAAAGTAGATCGCAAATCAAAGTGAAAGAATAGTTTTGCTGTCCTCATACCATATTAACATTTAAAATCAGTGCTGTGTGGGTAATTTAACTGAAGAAAGTCTTTGTTCTGGGTTCAGTTTCTGTGTTTTATGTTTCTTCTCTTTGGTATCGAGCTGACCTCCTGCTGCCTGCACACACTGAGCAGGGTTTCCCTCCTAACATATATAGTGTCTGTACTTGTGTCTCCTCTGGTGAGCTGTAATTCATCATTTAGCAGTTCATTTCAGCATTGCCTACATTTGTTTTGCGTTAGTCTGGAAAAAGATGGATATTTGAGATCCATATATAAGCTTTTAGTTTCTACATTGCATGTACTGAGAGGATTAATGCACTGTATTCAGGGTATGCTGATTGGCTGGGGATGATCAATTCTTTATTTTCCAAACCTTGCTAAACTAAACAAAAAGCCTTTGTTTGACATTGCTGATGACTTGCACCGGTGCCTAACAATAGACAATAGTATGACAATGGGAACATTTCCAATCTGTTTTGATGTTGGAACCAAAAACAGATTTGACTTTCTAAAAGCACTGAATGTTATACTTGTGAAAATAATATCTAGATTTAAATAACCGTGGTGCTGTTTTCTCAGTGGTTGTCAGTTTTGGACCGTCAGGTTGGGTTTGGAGGTCACCAAGTACTTCATTTTCTGGGTTTGTGAGGTGATTTAGAGGTTAAAAAAAACAAACAGTTTTTCCTCTTATTTTAGCTTAACTTCTTGTGAAATACTAAATAGTGTCAATTCAGTAACACAACCTTTTTCACTGCATGCGATAATGGGTGGTCACCAGCTGCTCAGCACTGTGCGTTTGTTGTAAAGAATACTCTGGAAATAAAGGCTGTTTCCTGCTACAGTGAATTGTGGATTTAATTACACTGAACAAAGGTGTGGATCCAATTAGGAGCAGTGTACAGTATATACAACACTGTAATGTGCAAAAATTACCCACATTTTCCTCCCATGAGAAGCAAGTAGCAATTAAAACCTGCAGAAAACACTGCAGTATGTTTTCATGAGCTCAGGCCCCTGTCAGAGCGATCATCTTTAATCAGCAGACATTACCGGATAAAGTGAGATGACTTTTCTGTCTCTGCACTAATATACCTCCTAACACCCCCCCCCCCACGTCCTCTCCAGGGAAGCGTTCAGTCTCCGCTTCCTGAGATTGTTCTAATTAAGACTGATGTAATGATTACATAATTTGTGGCAATCTCCAAAGCTGGATGTCGATGTTTGGCCCTATTGAAAATTTTATGCATCCTTTTTAAATTGCTTTTGCTGCAGCATTTCCATTAGTCTAACTTTAAACTTGTGAACTCCCTGCTTGGCATCACAACATATTAAATTGTCACTTATACTGCCGCACTTGTGTTTGTACTTTGATGCAGATCAGCGCTCTTGAGTGGGAGTGGGACGTTGCTAATAGGTGTCTTGCACAAATTATTATGGTATCTTCTTTTAAATTGCTTATTAGGGGCACATATAAAGTGAAATGTTTAATGCGATTAACCTTTTTAATTTGAACATTTATGTGTGGTAATAGTTTTCCTTTTATGCCCTCCTATAAGGCTTTTTGTAGTCGGTGCCTTTAGTGTTATGTTAAAGCTTTTACTTTTAGAGGTTTTGGAAAGAAGAAAGTCACCACATGTTCTATTTTGTTATAAGCTTAGAAATCATGATATTGTGAAAAGGGTCTTGTTCAATATCTCTAGATGTTTAATGTCTCCTGAGCTAAGACTCACTGACTTCACTGTCTTTTGTTTTTCTGAAGATGTGGATGTTCTGCAGCAGCTCGGGCTTTCTGGGCGAAGAGCAGGCGGGTCATCATCTTCAGGCGCTCGAACCATCCCTAATGGCATCATCCCCTTCAAGTCTGGAATTATCCTCACCCCGAGGGCACGTATCCAGGTGCCTGTGCGCACTGTCATCCCCGCTAACTACAGCTCCACCAATCTCTCCCTGATCCTCAGTTTGTCTGTTCATCGAGTCAACAGCGCTTTTCTTTTCTCAGTTCTGTCTAAGAAACGGAAAGTGCAGCTCGCAGTGCAGTTTGTTCCGGGGAAGGTCCTGGTACACGTGGGGCAGAGGAGCTCTGTGAGTTTCGACTATGATGTCCACGATGGCCGGTGGCATAGTCTGGCCTTGGATGTCCAAGGCCATCAGGTGTTCTTGCACACTTCTTGTGGGAAGAAAAGCATACATACAGATTTGCGTTCTAAAAAAGTTGAGGCCCTGGATCCAGAGGGCTCTTTCCTGCTGGGCAAAATGAACCACAACTCGGTGCCGTTTGAAGGTGCCATCTGTCAGTTTGACATTTATCCCTCTGCTAAGGCAGCTCATAACTATTGTGATTACATTAAGAAACATTGCAGAGAAGCCGACACGTATCGGCCTGTGTTTCCACCCCTGCTACCTCTATTTTCCACAGACCCAAATATTACTGTCACTCATCTAACTCCACTGTCATTGACAGAGCTTTCCAAAAAGGGGCTGAGACCTGCTCTGGCCTTGATTGAGGAAAACACCAGGACTACTATTCTTGTTCCAACTGACCGCTTGCTGATGCAGAACAAAACATCTGTGCATCAGACTTTGAGCACTCCACAACCTGGTGCTGTGTCTCTTTCTCCACCAGTTCATCCAGGGTTGGAAAGCCCGTTAAAATTTCCAACTCAAACAGTTGCTACATCTCTTAGGATCAGCGTGACACCACCGAGCCCAACTTTACATACTGGAAAGACCACAAAGCAAGGAAATACTAATGCCCTGAAACCTTCTGGGAATACTATGGATTTACCTGCTTCCACCAGACCATCAGAGATGAGGCCAAACCTCCAGACCACAGCTGCTTCTACACAGGGGTCTCCTTCAAACGCCTACCTTCCCCATAAAAAGCAGTTGAGCACAGTAGCTCCTAAGAAACCTGAGCCAAAAGTGACCGGTGTGCAGGATGTCAAACCCACCTCGCTTATTCCAGTCACTCCAGCTGCAACAGATGGCTTCCAAACATTTGACCTGGAACCGACTCACTTCTCACTGCTGGCTGGACCACCTGGACTAAAGGGAGAACCAGGACCGCCGGTGAGTGTGTGAGCTTTAAACAAACACAACACAAACCTGCCCCTGAATAAAAGCATGAATATCAACCCTTTGAGCCACAATGAGCGCATCTTTGTGCTTGCACTACAGTAATATTTGTTTATCTCTTGATTTGTTTACAGTATAGTGTTTTAGTGTTTATTTTATGAATGAATGTCTTATGAATTAGAGCAATTGGACTGTAACAGATGCACATTTTTAATTCTTGGCTGCCATTCTTCTATGCTTTGGGCTAGTTTCCTAATACATCTTTGGATCACAATGATATACAAGTGTGACAGCTTGTTGTTTCAATGTTGGTTGGCCTTTCTTTGATGTTTGGATCTGTCGCTGACGTAGATGCTGACATGTCTCTTGGTTGTGTGGTTTTCCAAATCTGGTGCTCAACGAGCACTACATCTCTAAAATGTTTGCTAATTTGTCAATAGAAGTGTTGCGTGTGTTAATGACTGTGATTTTTTGAATCGCTTCATTCCGTATCCTCAATTTGTTTTCTGACTTGGTGTTAGAAATTTTCTATCCTCCTCAAATTGGTGCTGATTACTGTGTGATTTCCTTTTTAGCAGGAGTGGTAGAAATAGTCAGGTTCATGCCAGTTAGTGTTTGTCTGAGTGCAAGGCTGGCGGTGAGGTGTTAGATTCCTCTGAGAGAGAGTGTGCCTGCTCTGAGAATGCATACTTTTAAAGTAGGGTCTAAGGTAAGTAAGGATAAAGCTCTTGTGCTCAATTAAATATATAGAACAGGAATATAAAGGTCTATACAATATAAATGCAATGCATCATCCCCATTATCAGAACTGTGCTATTTTTCACATTTGAAGCACCGTGGACTTTCTTGAGAGCAGGAACTGTAGGAAATGGAAAATTGTCTTTACAGACTTGACAGGTTTTTTTTTTTTTTTTTTTTTTTTAAAGTTAAATGCATAATTAGTTAAGAATACAACAACAACAAGCTTCAGTGACAAAATGCTAAAATTAAAAATCTACTAATGACTTGAGACTGCAGAATAAGACTGACCTTTCTAAGTTCAGAACAAAGCGTTAGTGATGAACACAGTCAAAGTATTTTATCTTGACATTTATCAACCAGTGTTGAATTGTAGACTGTGTACATTCATATTGACCATGTGGCCCTGTCACCCACTGTTCCTCTGTTGAACACAAAATGGTTACCCACATTTTCCATTGTTAAAAGGACTTCTCTGTCTTGTATTAGGTCATGTTTGACCAAAAAGAATGTTTTAAGTAAAGCTTTCCTGCTCTGGCAGTGAGGGAAACCACAGCTCTGCATGCCCTTGAAGCCGCTCTGACCATTTTTATGAGAGAGGAGTAAACGATACCAATATCAATCTATGATGTGTGGTAAAGGTTACTTTCCTGAGGACGTTCACCATTTGTATTGCTTACTAACATTGTAGCCTGAACAGATTGCTGAGTCAGTTACAGGATGTGAAATATAGTTACCATATTGTCTTGTGAGTCATTTCATTATGACTTGAAGCATATTGTTGAAATTTAATCACCCTCTACTGGGATTAGGGTTGACGTTAGTGGGTTATGGACTGTTTAAGGAGGCTTATGTTTCAACTGTAAACAATAACAGGATTGCCTTTAAAGGTAAATATGACAGAATATTCTGCAATTTCTGAAGACAGCAGAGTTAGATCTGATACATAAGATCTGATGAACTCTTCAACTGACCTGAGCTCTGAAGAAGGAGGATCAAAATTAATGACTTGATAATTAAGTAAAGTCTCCACTTGAGGGCTATGGAATATTGGATGCCTATTATGTATGATACTGACAATGCGAATGTCATTGTTAAATTCAGTATTTCAGTCAGGCTAGCCACTGACTACTCTTTTTAGTGCACGTCAATCCCAGGCCTCATGTTACCTTACAACAAGACTAGGTATAAACCTAATATGTGGCTGGACCGTGTATGGGAGTGCATGGGGTGCAATTTGTGAAAAAAATGCTTATTTAACATGCCAGATTTAAGTCCCCCTTTCAGTCCCAAGCATCCCTTGGCCAGGTGTGCCAAAAAACACTTCAATATTTAATCTGTAGGCCAGTCAAAAAATCAGAGACGCCTGTACTGTAGCATGTCAGCACAGCTGTGCTGAAATGTTACAGGGCTTTCAATAGCAAACAGTTACAGGAAGTGTTGAGTTTGTATTCACGCCTGATGCAGTAAATGGGCAAACGGGAGCGGACCAAAACGAGGCATCATACTAAAATACCGGTATGGCCAATTATACATATCAAGCAAAGGGAAATATAGGGAACTAAGGGCCTGCCTCACATAAAGGCCTGTTACCTTCTGCAGCTGAGGTAAATAAATGCCCTGGTCATTTCAGAAGATACAGGTGCTGAAAACTGTTGTGGATCCACTGTAAACACCGCCTGATGATGTAATAGAAACTGTTTGCACCACATCATTTTGAAAGCGCAACGGCCAAAGGAAAAAGTCAAGACATTCGGCTGTCCGACCAATGGCGTAACTTCATCACTCACTCAGTCACTCAGTCATGGACATTCATGGATATAGAAATTATGACTCAGAGTTTCAAGTCATGAATAATTATTGTTTATAAACTGTATAAATTCTATAAAGATGTGAGATCTAGCTCTGCCTTGGCGCCCACCCCGGCAGCGACTGCAGCTCAAACTGCTTATCATGTGTGGACAGCCTGATGGTTGCAGCCTAAAGAGTCTTTAGGTTGCTGAAAGCCCTTTGGCTTTTCAAAGTGTAAGCTAGCTGAAAGAGCATAATATTGATCCTGTCCAAGTCAGACAAAAAGGGTCTATACATCTGACATTATTACAGTAGTCCAGCCTCGAGCCGTTTTTAGGACCATTTTCCTTGACCACTTTAAACTTCTGGAGCCATGGGAAAATAAGTAACAATCCCAACATCTCAAGTAAACTGAGGTTCCTCAGATTGACCCCTCATTAGATTTGACCTTTTAGAGCTTTGCTAATCCATGTATGAAATCGTTTTAAATCTAGCTGATGCCCATAATTAATGTGATTGGCTGTGGTTGGAATCGGTGCCGACCTCCCTGCCAGTACAATGACTCAGATTTACAGTCAGAGCACTGTAGTGGTTTTGCACTGAAATAATATTGGCTACAGAAGGAATAGGGCTGCTCTAGTCTCTAACAAGACATCCTCATGCCTGCCAGCATCTCACTGACTGAGTGCTTTGCTACTTTCAGCTAACTTCATTTCTTCTCAAAAAAAGCTCAAGATGTATTGAGTTAATATCTAGCTTGAGTGACTTTTATCTGATTTTTCTATTCAAAAATGTTCAAGGCTTTCGTGAAATGATACAACAAAAAGCGGCAACTGTTATTTCCTGCTTTGTATTTATAGGCCTTGCCTCACTCTATCCTTGACATCTTTTATCTTTTCCTTTTAGGGCCTTCAAGGACTTCCAGGGTTGCCTGGAAAGCCAGGGAAGAGGGGCCCAAGGGTGAGTGTCTCCCAGCCAGTGACAAGTTTCCCATTTACCTTCCTACAGTTCCTCTTTTCAATTCCCCTCCAAAATCTTCCATATGCACCACACTTCTTTCACCATCTTAACGATGCCTTAATCATGCCTGATCCTGCATTACAGTGAGATAACACTATTTGAAGTGCACTGACATGGAAGATCTTTGAGCATTTTGATCAAGCACTCAGTGACATCTTTGGATTACAGAGCATTATTCAGCCAGACGTTAGTTTGCTTTGGCTCTGGCTTTGATCAAGCTGTGCTTCTCTGCTGCCAAAGTCCATTTGTAAAGCTCGAGAGCAAACAGCCATAAGCCACAAATCTGTCGGATGCCAATTTAAAATTAATTGAACACATACAGTAGGTATTAGATGGACATGAAAAAAATAAGGTAACTTATGAGAGCTTATGTACATACATACTTTCAGAACAAGTGCTTTCTATCCCATTCATTAACAGCACCGGTTCTTAAATTAGGCATACGTCCTATGTTAACATTCGTAAATGCTTCTAGTGTATTGGACTCAGTCCTCTGGTGCCATGTCTCTCATTCTGGGGCTCAGTGTCAGTGCACAACTGTGAGCTCCTGGTGGAACCAAACAGAGTGAATGCAGATGTTATTTTAAGCTCATGTTTTCAGAAGACATTTAAGAAGAGGGAAAACATTGGAAGATGATTTGTCCCAAGTGACGGTTTTGTTATTTTGATTTCTTTCTAAGGCCCTATTACTGATAGTTGTGTATGTAGTTGCTGCCCTTGTAGCTGCCTTTTCACCTCCCTTATATGAAAATGGATAAGGCAGAAGTTGAGTCTTACAGTGAGTACTAAGATTAAATAAATATGCTAAAACTTAAGGCAGTGAAAAAATTGATAGATAGCAATTTGGTTGCACTTTTGTAGAGCTCCTGCTGAAGTGCTCCTGCAGAGCACTTGTGTTACCAAGGTGTGTGTGTGTGTGTGTGTGTGTGTGTGTGTGTGTGTGTGTGTGTGTGTGTGTGTGTGTGTGTGTGTGTGTGTGTGTGTGTGTGCGTGCGTGAGCTACCTGCCACAGCCCGTGAGACTGCGCCCTGTGGTCGGGCCTCAGAGGGGTGGGCTGTGGGAACCCAATCTCTTTAAACAAGGAAGAAAGAGGGCTTTGTCCCCATCTTATTAAAGGCATTTAAGACCCTGTCTGGAGCTCAGCAGCTCTATCCAGTAGTGCACCAACCTCTATAGAGTTCATTCATCATCAAGCTCTTGAGACTCAACTACAGGCCACGCTGACTCAGAAAAAACTTGATTGTTTTCTTGAACCATCAGAATTTTCCTGGATAATTCATGTGATTAGAAAGAAGTACCTCATAGCCACGCACACGATCAACAGAAACACCTGTAGAAACAAAGCTAACATAGTAAAGGGTAAATGTAAGGACTGCAGTTCTTTGATACTGCTGGTGGCTGATGGTTGCACACACGCATTGAAATGCACCAAATCCAAATGAGTGAGACACCAGCCACCGTTTGATATGTGAAGTTAAAAGGCCTCAAGAAATTGAGGGCATGTATGATAAATTTATTCTCCTCAGCATTGTCTGATTTGCTGTGAGTAACTCTAATCTTCGGAGGGTCCTTATCTCATTTCACGTCAGATATAGAAGAAGTCCTTGGGAGATATGATGTGGAACAAACTGTTCCTATTGCAGAAACTGTGTGGTCTCTCTGGGGAAAGAGTTGGCACTCTCTTACGCACCACAAAATCTTTACAGCAGTTGGAATGACACAGCACCATTAGGGCTTTACCTCTCTGACAGCAAGGTGTCATGTCTGACTGAGCAGACAGTCTCACCACCGCTACCAATGAGCAGCATCTCTCACACGTGAGAGCGTCCACGTTCCTTGACACAGCCATAAGCCCGGCAGAGCGCCGGAGTTCACGCGGCCCTGAAGGGCAGGCTTGAGAGTGGATCAAAGAGGGCTTTGTGCAGAGAAAAGGACCTGCCAGTGTGCAGTCAGTATGTGATGCTGGGTTTCTGTGAAATTGCATTTGCATAATTGCTAAAGTAATGGTTGACACTCTATGACATGACTTAGGGAGTCTATGGAGACTCAGCACTGTTTCTGCCACTGGTCGATTGGTGCAGAAAACTGAGCAGATTTACGTATGCTGTAAAATTTAGATTCTTCTGAAATGAATTACACGTGTAGGGACGAATGAGCAGTCTCTCGAGGCTTTATTAGGGTTTTCTCTGTCATTATTAGTCACACAGACTTTTTCCACTGTTGCTTGTACTTAAGATAATCGGGAGCACATTTAGAGAGTTGAAGTTAAGTGGCAGGGGGTTCACACAAGACGCCAGCAACAGTCAGTCAGACAGTTGTTCATCACTGAATTGTTCCTGATCATTGACAGTAACAATACCTTTTAATTTAAAGATTTTTCCATTGGTTAAGGTATTGTAACACATGAGTCATTTAAGCAGTACCTAGTAGATGAAATGTATCAGTATGTATCAGTATGTGGTAGGTCTACCTATCAGATACCACCTCTGGTGCAAAGGAAGTGATGCATTTTATGTTTCCAGCTGCAGCAACAGTAGTTTGTTTTAAATAAATGCATAGAATAAAAGAGCACCGCCATTCAGAGACATGAATATGATTAACCAACAGAAAACCCAAGGACAAGGCGCGTGCACTTTAAATAATTTAAAATAATTTTCTGTACTGAAATGATTTGTCAGTTGACCAAAATGAGTTAATCATTTAAGTCATTTATTTGGCAAAATACCAAACACTTGATGGTTGCAGCTTCTCAAACATGAGCATTTGAAGCATTTTATGCTGTGTACTGTTTTATCTTTCACTGTTTTTTTTTTAAGTTTTTTTTTTTTTACATTTTATAGACTTGACAATTAATTGATTGAAAAAAAGTATTGGCAGATTAATTATTACAAATAAATGGCGAGTTGCAACCCCAGTCACACTACTGACTACACTGATTCTCTCTCAGATCCATGATGTTATAGAAGCAGTTAGCACTTATTTTCCACCAATATTTTTTGCCAAATACAACAAAGAGGAGTTAAAATCCTTTTAATATAAGTTATATTTAATAATCATCAGGCTAAAGACTCAGTGTTTCCTCCTGTGCAGTCCACAGAAGGTGTTAGCAGGCCTGCTCTGGGTTAATAGCCTATAAAAACAGTAGCACTCCTCACGCGTCATCCCTGTAAAAGTCATTGGCCCACGTTGTAAACCTGGTCACGACTCTGGCATACAGGTGCCCCTCATCCGCAGGCCTCAGGTGTGAGAATGTGTGCGTGCTTGCATATGTGCTGACTTGGGTTTACGTTAGCGCTCATTATGTATGTTTGTTTACCTGGTGGTATGTAAACGGTTTCTTGTCATGAGCTCTTTTCAATAATTAAGCAAAGAGGATGTTTATTCCACTTCTCTCCCATGCGAAGATAGATGGACAAAGTGACTCATTCTCCCCAGTATCCCTGTCTCCAGTGGGACAACACCCGCCCACCTTGTCATCAGCACCGTGGCTCTTCACCTTATGTACTGCGAGAATGCAATTTGTAATATTCTGTCTCGACCTCCCTATTTCTCTATGTCTCCTCCTCCCTTTGCTTCCTATCTGGAGATAATGATTTCCATACGCTTTAATATCGAGTGAGTGAAAGAGGGAATGCTCTGAATAGAGGAGGAGGAGGAGGAGGAGAAAGAGGAGGAAATCTGTAGATGAGCTTCTGTTAAGTGTCTCCATATGTCCAACAGCGAGCGCCCGCAAGGGGAGAGGTCTGGCCAGTTCGAGGGGAGGGGAACGGGCCTGGGCTGTTTGACTCGTCTCCACAGCTTGATAATAGAGCACAGATAAATAACAGAGACAGAGACCGGCTGGATCACCCAACCATACACTTACACCTCTTGGCCTCCTCCGTCTGTTTTACTCAAGAGTAATTTTATCCCTCACTTTCACCTCCAGCTCGGGGGAAAAGGTCGCTCTTCACAACCCATGGAAAGTCTGAACAACTCAAATAACGGGATGAAGATACAGTAGCTTCCTGTTCGAGCCATCTGAACATGTTTCAATGCTTTCAGTTTTGCTGGGGAAGAATTTTCCATGCTCAGCATTTCAACCCCGCTCCACACAAGTGCGCAGTTGAACGGAGGACTCTTCAGTGGGATGCCTCAGGAAGTTGTGGCTTTATTTTTTCCAAACAATCCCTCTTTGCAGCTTGCTTGAATTTATCGTCCCTTCAACCAGAAAAAATAGATTTTGTCTTCTCATTCTCTGCTCCTGTACATCCTACCCACTCGGCCTGACTTGTAGGAGATAGTCCATTTTGATAAAACAACTGGCGCAGATAGCTACATGAATAATATCTAAGCATGTTATGTAACACAGATACCTAACTTGTGCCACAAAGCGATTGAGGAATATGGTGTGATGGATGAGTGGCCTTCACTTTGTGGGACCCCCGAAAACCAGTGGAAAAGTGTAGGGGTGAGGAAAATCACATCCATATGTCATAACTTGGACGGGCAGGCAGACAGGCAAGGCAGGCAGGAGACACAGTATGTCTCACAGAGCACCTATACACAAACACAGAGGGACCTTGGGGCACTGCTGACCTGTCCCATAACACAGGCAGTGGAAAGGGAACAATATGTTCATACAGCTGTAAATACCTCACATATAGCGCTGACTCCCCCTCTTTGCTGCTGAATTGGAGGCCTGCTCAATGACCCCGATCATCACCTTTACTCTGTGTCTTCCTTAATCATGTGTGTCTCTGTTTCCAGGGTCCCCCTGGCCCACATGGAAACCCTGGTCGTCCTGGACCTCCTGGAGTGAAGGTACAGCATCAATGATTCAGTAATGTTATCTCAAATGGTATTTTTCTATTTGTAGGAAGGAAAATACACCTGTATGGACCATATTCAGTGAATCCAATAATAAGGTCTTAATTTTGTAAGCCAGAGACTTAAAGGAACACTCCATGATCCCAGATCCCATAACCAAAATGAAAATGTTATTGTAGTCCACTCTCCCTTCCCAATTGATTGTCTCACACTAGACCGCAACTACTTCATTCAAATCATTAGATTTCCCATATTTTACTTTTCTGATGTTGTATTTGAAGAAGATATATTTGTGGTTTTAAGCACCATAAACCATCTCAATGTAGTTTTACATCTCCTCTCTCAGGCTTCTCTCTGGAGCTCTAGTACCAACAGGTTAGTCAGCCAATCAGAAGAGAGGAGGCTCTGAGCCTCTTTGCTGATTGGCTGACTGTTTTCTGAGTGATCAAATAAAAGTATAGCAGATTTCAGATAAACACTTAGAGAAACCAAATCCTGCAAGGTTGGATGGTGGGTTCAGGTGGGCGGGCCTTGGGGCATGGCTGAGAGCGGTGACTGCTTTGTTGTGACATCACAAAGTTACAGAAATCCTAACGGCTCATTTTAAAGCTCATTTTCTGACTACAGGCTTCGTGCATTTCTATGTGGACTGAGCACTTTGATACTTTCACAGTATTTATATTGAAACTACATACTGCTTTATAAAAAAGTAAACATGCAGTGAGCAGCAGTTCTGTGGATGGAAACGCCTTGTTGATGGGAAAGGGCAGAGGAGAATGGCGGTCACTCATATAACCGCTGTTTACAACTGTGGTGAGCAGAACAGCATCTCAGAATGCACAACACATCAAACCATAGGTAGATTGGCTACAGCAGCCGGAGACCATGCTGGGTTCCACTCCTGTCAGCCAAGAACACAAATCTGAGGCTGCAGTGGGCACAGACTCTCCAACACTGGACAGTTGAAGACTGGAGAAATTAAATCTGGTCTGATGAATCTGGATTTCTGCTTAGGCAGCAGATGGTTGGGTCAAAATATGGTGTCAACAGCATGAATCCATAGACCCAACCCGCCATGTGTCAACCGTCCAGGCTTGTGTTGGTAATTTAATGGTGTGGGGAATGTTTTGCTGGCACACTTAGGGCCCATTAATACCAATCAATCTGTGTGAATGCCACAGCCTGTCAGAGTATTGTTGCTTCATGGTCACAGTGGTCATCTTTTTAATGGCTACTCCCAGCTTGATAATGCTCCATGTCGCAAAGCAAAAGTCGTCTCAAACTGGTTTCACGAACATGACAATAAGTTCAGTGAAGTTCAGCGGCCTCCCCAGTCACCCGATCTGAATCCAGTAGAGTACTTTTAGGATGTGGTGGAACAGGAGATGACACGATGTGATACAATCAAGTCAACATGGAGAAGAATCTCAAAGGAGTGTGTCCAACATCTTATGGAATCAATGCTACAACAAACTGGGGCTGTTTTAAGAGCAAAGGGAGGCTCTACCCAATACTGATTTGGCGTTCCTAACAAAGTGCTCGGTGAGTGTATATCTTATTTCTCTGTGCTGGATACCTTCAGTGTTCAGTGAACCGCATTGTAGCACTGGGTGTCGTGTTTCTTCATCACGATGAACACGGGCAGTATTTAGAATCGATCCAACATACACCATCCTGCTGATGTGAATACTCATAACACATCAAATGTGTTTTAATCTGTGGCTGAAAATAGTCCCCAACAAATGCACTATTTACTTCTGTTTATACTTACATATACTTATATGGGATATGGGATCATGTCCCTAAATCATAACCCTCAGGGATGCAAGTAGCTCTAATCAGGAAGAAATGTTAAGATAACATCAATAAAAAAAAAACAATAAAATAATTGGCAGAGCTTTTTACGGTACATATACATCAGCCACACCATTAAACCTGATAATGTTTTAATGTTGTGGCTGATCTGTGTAGATGTAATACTTCTTAATGCTCCATATCTAACTGATGTGACAAGGTCATTTAAAAAACACTGTAAATATGAAGATCTAGTATCTCTTGTGGTTTTACTTTGTCATTCAGTGTTTGTGATTTAACTTGGTTTGTGTGTCTGAGTTCAGATCCTCTTAGCACAACCCTCTTCTACCCTCTTACGAAGCCATTTGTTTCTGCTCAGGAGAGAACAGCAGTTTCAAGTCTTTCTGACTCACTAATTTGCAAGTACTTGACATCAGTCTGTGTTCCAGCTGGTTTGAACTGTCAACAGAGAAGGTTGCTTAGCTCCATAAAATGTCAGTCTGATATCACAAAGGAGTCTGCATGTTAGACTTTGCTGGAATAAAATGGAAAATTGCTCATATTTCAAGCCTGTACCTAATCCATTGAAATGCATTGAATTTCAACATTTTCCACAGTATTCAGGCATTTAAAAAACATAATTGGTACCATTCTTTGGCCTACTTTAACCAGGGGAAAAACCATATCTCTTATATCGTACATATGTGTCAGCTGGAACCTAACCAAACCTGGCCTGGCTCTGTTTGACTCATTTGCACACAAACCTCAAACAGCAGACTGTCTGGTCTGGCACAGCTCTCTGTTTTAAGAAAATGAAAACAGATTGTGTGTTAGCTGAATTTTGTTTTGAATATGTCACTTTGTCTGAATTTAATGATGAGAAATTGAGACAAGCTCATGTTCAGTCACCTACTACTGTAAGTAGCCTACCATTAGACTTAAAAATGAAATGAATGAAGGCATAGAATACACATATAATCAGTGGAAAGCACAAGTGCTTATTAAGGTCTTGAGCTTTCAGAAGAAATTACCTGATTTAGCTCTGCTTTGATCTTAAACTCTTTGGATAATCTAGTTGAGGTGAAAAGACACAGTGTTCGTGTATGTATATTGTTCTTGGCTGGAGCAGAACTCAAGGCCCTGTTAAGAAATCATTCTGGAGAAAATTCCCACAGACTGTTCAATGCCAAGTTGTATCTGACACGAACATGTAGGTTTAAATGGGCCAATATACTGTAGATGGGAAATTTGATCTTACTTTCATCAGTAACTCAGTCAATAAAATATATTCTTTTGAAGCAGTGCACGTCTTTCCATCTAAAACTGAACTGAAGAGCTTTGGGGAAAAATGGCCCCCATACTCCTTTTTTAAAAAGAGGTGTTAGCCACAGGATGAAGTGAGTCACAATGCAAGATTTATTTACACACCCAGACTTCAATTTGTTGAATGAATCGTGTCAGAGCATTTTGTAATGAGCTGATAACAGCTGTCATTTGATTACAGTCCAACCAACACAGTGCTGCAAATTCTTTCTCTCATATACTTGTTTCTTTATATGATAAGCACTAACACAGGACATTATCTATTTTTTCCATGGACCTCTGACATTATAATTGCGTAGATAACTGGGCAGCTCATTCACTGGCACAATTGGACATCAAATGCTGACCCAGAATGCACTGACAGGATTCCCACTGCCTGAAAAGGGAGAAGAATGTACATGTTCACTCCCCATCACTTCATGCTGTATTGGTGTAAACCGAGTTACCAGAGGGCATAAATGGACTGCACGTCTGTGTAAATACAACCACCAATAAGTAGGGTGAAGTCATCACTCTTAGATAGTGTAAATGTACACTGCGAGCTCTTCTGCGCCTTGAGAAGTGGAAGGCTGTGGCAATGCAGAAAATATGCGGTGAATGCTGGTGCACACTAGTATCTTGTGCCTACTGTGAGAAAGTGCCTCTAAAAGTAGGAAAAAGAAACTGTTCTCTTTTTATGTTCTAGGGACAAAAAGGAGATCCCGGACTGTCCCCTGGTCAAGCTCCAAAAGGACAAAAAGTACCTTCCCTTCTTTAAAACCACTTGATTATTTGCAGACACGGTCATGTAAATATGCTGGCGTATTGAATGTGACCTAATTTGTCTTCTTTTATTTTTTAGGGAGAGCCCGGTGTCGTGGGCCCCCCTGGACTGCCTGGCCAAGATGGACGAAAGGTAGAAAATCCGTTTGGGCTCACAAACCCTCTCAAACTGTGTGTTTTATTTGTGTGTGCAAATACACAAAGAAGTAACTGATATCCATCAGAGTTTACTGGCTCTGTCCCAGATGTGTGAAAGTTTATATTCTAGGTGTGTTTCTGCTCTTTTTCTGCCCTCAGAATGTTTCCAGACATAAATCAGACACAAAATGAGTGAGTGACTGAATGAGTGGAGTTATGTATATCAAGGATCACTAAGTCAAATGTACGCTCTCAACCCCGGCCCTCTTTGAACTGATTCTGAGCAGGGAAGTCTGTGAAATTGCAATGTTTAGAGGCTTCAGCCAAACATGGATGTTTGAGCTCTTGTTTGGAAAGCAGCCTAACATAATGCAGGCGTCAAGGAGCACACCTGTGCTCCGGCTCCCCTGTGGGTTGCAATACTAAAGGTTTGAATAGCTGGGCTGTTACATCATCAGTATCACAGGCCTCCAAAATGAGGAAGAAAGCCGAGGAAACCAGAAGTTTACTGGGTGAAGCTCATGTTGTAAATCCATGTTATGTCATTCATACTTTGGAGAGCTGTTTTCCCTGAAAAGAAAGACAAGTTATATTATGTTGGTTAGTTCTGCGATCGGCTCCTGTTCAGGATTGTTCGTCTGCATGATTCCACTTCTTTACACGCCGCTGTGCTGGGTTATCCTGACAGAGAGTGATGGTTAGCAGCAGAGCGTTTTCTCCATGGCCTTGTGCATTTTATCCTTGGCCTTTGCTCAAAGCCTTCTCACAGTAATTACACATCTCAAGTGGACCAGAGCCTGTTGGATTTCCTACTATGCATGGTGGGCAAACAACATAGTACTCTGTAGTGACCTGATTCTTTTTGCATAGAATTTAAGACAATATTTTTGCGTTAGTAATTTTTCCCCACGTATGAATATTTGTTAGTTTGATGACTGCAGTGTTTTTAATCAAAATATTACTGATTTACTTCTCGGTATGATGGAGTATCATGAAACATAATTCCGGCTATCGTGAAAGAATAAAGTTGGTGATAGTCTATATTTTTGTTATGAAGATGAAAATCTTTAAAAAGAGCCACAGATATGTAGTTTCATTTGAAAAAAGGTTAGTGTTCTTAAAACAGCTGGACACTCTAGTTATAGCTAACATTATTCAAACAGGAGTTTCCGTTTCTGCATTTGTTTCTGGACTACTTTCAGCTGTGGATTAATACAAATGTCGGACTCTTGTGAGTATTTACAGCAGCAGGATGCCGGTGGGACTGACTCAAAATGCTCTAGAGCACCCATGTTCATTATAATAAAGAGACATGTCACCTGCTGAAGGTGTCTTCCTTTCTTAAAGCAACTTAAACAGGATAATGTAATCAAACCTTTGACTTCTGCTACCAAGGGATGGGAGGACGACCTGAAGACCCAGCATCAGTGATGAATAACCGAAAGTTGTGCCCATAATTCACGCAGTGTATCATGAGGTTAGGAATAATGTGGATAGGTTTTTGGGCAACAATGGAGCTCTGTAACTCAGATAAATAAGCTATATCAGGCTTTGAACAGGCAATACTGTTGTAGCACTTTAACCATGGTTAGATTGTGGTTAGAGTCTGTGCTGTTGATGTTGATTATCAGTTCAGAACAGTGAACAGGAAGAAAAGTTTCACAGGATGTTTGTAGTTTCACTGCTAAAATCGGAATCACATGTCTAGTAGATGTTTACTAGGTGTCTGAAGCAACGGCTGATTGCAATAAACAGACAGTCTCACAAAACCTCCCACAACAACTCTTTGCTATCAGTTACCACCCATCACTGGAGAAGACAAAAACATAGTTCATTTCCATGTCAAAAATCAGCATTTCCTCCAGATTTATCTCATTAGCAGTGGAAAAACCATAGAAACATCACTTAAACCATTGTAGGACACAAAAACTCTCCCCTGAAACCCAAATATATAAAGGATTATTAGCTTTTAATGAAGAAGGAACCACCCTACTTATTTAGTGCCATGAAATAGATTTAAATTTCATTGTGGGTTACAGAGAGTTTTTATTCTGGTTGAAATGAGAATGAGAAAGAGAGCCGCTGCTGAGTTACATGATAGTGTGTTGCAAGAGCATCTGTTCTGTCGGAACAGAAACAAAAACTGTGCATCAGTACAGTAAAGGTCACAGTGAGGTCAGGACGAGGATGACAGAAGAATGCTAATTAAGAAAACAACTGTCACACAACATGAGAAATCCTTTGTAAGCAACTCTCTTTCTCAGTGACACGCACGCGCAAAATCACACACACACGCACACACACACACACACACACACACACCCCTGTCCTCATTTGGGACACAATAGTATGAGTGCAATAATGCCTTGGCGGGATCTCCAGCAATCTGTTATGCAATCGGACAGAGCTGACTGTGAAAAACCATCTGGTGGGCTCAAGGTTCCTCCATTCAGTGTAGTAGTGGGGAGGACTCCAACTTGAAAAAGGAAGACCTCTCCTCGCCTCATGAGTCATAGAACGTGGAGTCATGGGAAAAAGCTGATCTTCTTCCTGCTGATTTATGGTAATCGTGGATAAGTGGTTGTAACAGATCCCTTTTGCTGTTCTGATGATCAGCTCAGGTGGGATTTCTGGTGCTCCCCCCCTCCCCCCTTCTAATCAATCCTATGTAAACCTTAAAAAGCACACACGTCCACACAAGTAACTGCTGACAGCCATACAAAGTATTAAAATGCAGTTCGTATCCAGCTAATGAAATCAAGGCAGTCAGCTTGGCTCTGCTGAAAGCCACCAGACACCTCATTGCTTGCAGCTGTGCTTAACTCTCTTTTTTTTTTTTCTGATCATACTCTGGGACTTAAAGCCAAAACTCCTTACAGCGCACTTTTGTATTCAAATTACACCGAAATTCCATCATCTGCCACAGTTGAAGCTCGAGGTTCGTTCTCTTGTCTGCTCTTGTCCAACCAGCCAATAAAGCTATGACCTGCTGCAGCTTTATGGACCCTCTTCGCTGAGTTTTCTGCTCAGTCCCTGGCCGGCTGCCAGAGAAAGCCTTTCTCACTGTGGGAAATGTGTAAAGATGTAATGGGAACGTTGCCTGGGAGTCAGTCTGCACTGCAAAGTGAAAAGGGATTCATGTATGTGTGTGTCAAGCCGAAACACCATTGAGAGTATTACCAGCCCTGGACGAGTGTGCCTTTTACATGGCCAGCTCTGATCATGGCACACTGGAATAACGCTCAACTTTTTATTAGCTGTGCAGCCCTCAAGATTTTTCCCCTCCTGCTCCTCAGCTGTGTATAATAACATTCTCATACCTTTATTTGCTGAGTCTGATTTGTCCAAGAAAGAAGTGTGAGGCTTGCCAGGTGGGAATAAGATTTTGTGTTATAATAAAAATGAAAATCTATGGAAAGAAAAAAGGTTTTTTTTTTTGTCTGCCAAGTAAAGTCTGTTACTTATTCTGTAGGGGAGACACCATCGCTGCTGCTGCTGCTGCTGCTGCTGCTGCTGCTGCTGCTGCTGCTGCTGCTGCTGCTGCTGCACTTTGTCCTGTTGGCTGCAGGGTTGATCTGGTGTTAGTTACACTAATTAAAACTGTTTGCTCTTCATAGAGAGGGAGAACTAATGGAGAATGTGATCCTTTGCCAACTTTGTGTCACACAATGGATTTACAGAACTGTGAAAGCTGTTTTTGAGCCCATATATGATAACGCACTTCAGGGACAGACCTCTTCTCCTTTTCTTTTACTGTAGTCAGCTGTACTGGCTTTGCTGCAAGGCCCAGACACATTCTTTTGTCCCTTCGTGGCTGCAGCACTTTGGCTCCTGCAGGACACTCATCTACTCCCAAAAAATCCTGTCAGATATTTCATACTTGAAGCACACTGTCTCTCTGCTGATAAATTGACAAATAATCAGGAGTTTGACAGAACAGTACAACAGTGTCTGATAGAATTGCGCTGGCCAATGGAGCAGCATCTGGCTTCGCTCCGTGTCCAAAAGCTGCAGGGGATGTGACTGAAAATTTGAGTCAGAAAAAAAAATAGTTGCCTTTAGAGTGTGTTTATTTCTTTCTTTCTTTGTAAGCACTTTTTTATTGAACTCAGCCCCGAGCTCTGAGCATTTGTAAAACATCAATGAGTGTTTTTCATCTCTGTTACATACTTCGGTGAATGCTCAAATGTAGCTTTGTGCTGATGATTTAAGGATCAGGTTTCCCATCATGATGATGTCACAGACTTCAGTCTCAGCTGATTGGTTTGTAGCTGCGGGATAACTGTGATATATTCACTTGAACTGTTCCAATGGCGTGTTATTAATCTACTTTCCGGAGTTAAGATGATGTGCTGGACTGATATCAGCCTTTTGATCAACATGGGATGTCAGGCTGCCAGCATGATTTTACTTAACAGTTTCAGGCATGCCACTTTCACTCTGCCTCAGCCCCTCAGCCCTGCTTGACCCACCAGTGGGTCCATCAATGTTAATTCATGTTGTGCAGCCAAATGGTTTTCAAACCCACAAAACCTCATTTTAAATTCTAATCAAATATCCAAAGTTTCCAAAGACAACAGTCATGTCAGGCTCCATTCCTGCAAAATGTGTGCCAAATGATTCACAAGACATACACATCTGCTATAGAATATTCTCATTTGAAGAACATAGTGTCTTAGGTTTTAATATTTTATTGATTGTAAGCACCAGAAAGTCTAAATGAAGTGTTATATGGGGAGAAAAATGTTGCTTTAACAGATTAAAGAGCACCAGTGAATGTTTAAAGGAATACTTCCACACAGATTTATTCGCTTCCTTGCAGAACATTAAATGGATATCATTCTTATCTTTGTGCAGTGAATATGAAGCTACAGCCAGGAGACGATCATCTTAGGCTAGCATACATCCCCTGTTTAGCATACAGCAAACAGGGGAAACTGGAAGTCACTGCATTGACAAAATAATAGTCCTGCACACAGTTCCCAGTAAAAACATAAATTGTTATTTTTACTTCTTTTTACTTTTATTTTTGTATGTATTGAATCAAACCAGATATAAAGTGCTAACTTCTAAAAATGAGTTCTTCTTGGTAGGTGAAGTTGTAAAACTTTGGAAGAACCATGCTAGCTGTTTTCTCTGTTTCCAGTCTTTGTGCTAAGCTAAGCTAAGCTTAACGTCTCCTGTCATATTTAACAGACAGATATGAGAAAGAAAGTGGATAAGTACACATTTAAAGTTGAAAATAAAAGATTAATTGGCTGTGGTCCAGTTTTAAGAGATTTTATTTGCATGTGGTAGAATCACCTTGCATTGTGAATGATGTTTCACAGATTTAACATCGTGCCATCTATGAAAAAACTGGTCGTTCTTGGTTTATTTTTCACATGAATTTAATCTAATCTCAGCAAACTGAATAGCAGCACAAAAAGAGGCCGATCTTAGTACTGAAATCAGCCTGATCGTGATAAAAATTCTTAAATTTAGTGCTATTCCCCTTCCTTGTGAGCATCACACATCACACACTGCAGAAACTCAGTGAAGCAGCCATTAAAGTTGAGCCCTGCTTTATATCACTACTACCAAATATCTCACAAGACGTTTGCAGAAGGAGATTTTAATCCTCATGTACACACTCTGGCGGCAGGCTTGAGAGTGCTTTGTATGGCTCTCTTGATGGTGAATTGTTTGTTTACAGTGATACCGTTTTTTTTTACATCAGCCTCTGGCTCCCTGTGGTTTACTTGTCCTGCTGCCGAGAGGCTGACACAGCTGGTGGCTAATGACTTCACACTTGAAGGGATAGACGTGTTCTTCCCTCAGAGATAACTTCACATGACTCTATCTACTGTAGGCTTTGATTGGGAGAAGATTAATACATTTTGCAACCGGCTGGCATGCTCATTTGAGACCACAGGGCATGAAGGTGACTATTAATTACCCTTTTGGGTTTTACTTGTTACTGTCTAATTGGTTTACTGGTTTAATTAATGCAAGATTATTCTGAATAGTTTTATCAGTTTAGTGGTGACAGTTATTAGACAAACTCATAGCAAAGCGGCTGTGCTACGGCAATATATGAAAACTGCATTGGGCTTGTTTAGAAATCATAAAGAGGCATTTTCTTCGGGGTTAAATGTTAAATAGCTCAGGAGTGGTCGTTTAGTTTCACAGCTTTAAGGTTGTCTTGGCTGTGGAGCCTTTTAAACTAAACCTTCTGGGTGAAAATAAGTTATTTTATTGAACTTTTTATATGGAAACAAAGTCAAGTCCTCTCTAAAGCAACTGGAAAATCCTTCCACATAAATCCAGTCCCTGTGGTGTTAACTGAGATGCTCTTGAGCACAAGGTGATAAACAACAAAAATTAGATTAAATTTGACCGTTGACTTAATATTTTCTCCCCAAGACTGACATAATCTCTTTCTCCACAGTGCATCATTTAGCATTGTACTTCCCTGTGGGTTTGTGATCAGAATTTAAATGCGATAAGATGCCATAGTATTTTCAGTTGGTCTTATTGTTGGATGTGCAAATCTCTAACTCATTGTTTTTCTATCAACAGGGACAAAAAGGGCATCCTGGTCCCTCTGGTCTCCCAGGTGAACCTGTGAGTAATTTATTCCTCTGTATTCATAGATTCAGTTTGATGTATATCACACATTGTCTTTCATGGATAACATTAAAAAGAATGTAGAATTTCTTTCTCCATATCTTCAGAAGTCTACTGCCAAGGTGTAATGTCACTCTAATGTCTGTAATAGTAGCTTCCCCTTAGGTCAATGAGTGCAACAGGGAGATTACTAGAGTGCAGTTCATACCATTTTGAAAAAAACCTACAGTAGACTCTGAGGCGTGATGCACCATTTCTCCCTTTTTAAACATTTGATCAACAGTGTCTGAGGTGTGAGTGTGAATTTTATCATAGGGATTAAAAACAATCATGAGGCAACCAAAGAGGATTTTCTAAACGTGCCAACTGAAAACAACTGAAATGTGATTACTTTGGTTCTTTTGACACAATCCCTCCCCCGTCTCTTTGAAGTCTTATCGTGCTGTCTAAACCCACCGCATGCTGTTTGTGTGTCTGATGGCTGCAGTGTGTTAGGCTGCATGTCAATGTATGTTTACTCATTGAAGGGAAGAGCTAAGAGTCTGCAGAGACAGATCCCATACGACTCCAGCATGTCTTTCCATTTATAGTTACAAAAGAGAAGAAAGGGAGGGAATGACAGAGAGAGAATATTAACACAGAGACATCAGGACTTTCAAAAAGAGGGGTGATGGGTGGGAGGGGATTACGGATAGAGAGTAGAGATATTACACATTAGTCGTTCGGGACTCTTGGCGGGAAAAGGGAGTGAGAGATTTTTGGCAGAGATGCAAGTGGGCTAAATAGTTTGGACACCCTAGGTCATTCCTCCTCCTCCTCCTCCTCCTCCTCCTCCTCCTCCTCCTCTCCCTCCTCTCCCTCCTTCCTGGTTCAAATCCTGTGTACTGTCTTTGAGAAGACTGTGCTGTGTCACAAGGAAGAAAAAAAAAGACTTTCATGTCTCCTCTGGTATTCTCTAGAAATGATGGACTTATTTCTTTGGAAAATTATTACAATAGCACATGGTTTAACATGCAGACCTGTTGAACACTCAGTCATTATTGTTGACCTCGAGGTCTGTTACTTTTGTTAGTGCAGTTGATTTGGTTGTTTTCTAGACCAATGAAGATAACTGGCGACATCTTGTGCCAGAGTAATTTTACTATGTTGCTATAGACACTCCTGATTGATTATTAATTTGGTGGAACTTGTGCATTAGTTAAAGGCATCCTGTGAAGATTATTTGTAAACAGACACTATGCTTAGTTTCAGTGATTCCTACCAAAATGAGGCCTAACAAACAGGTTAATTGCATTTCCTCCCTTACATTATACCGAAACATCCATGTTTACATTGGCTAGCAGTCTTCTATCCTGCCTTTTGCTGGCGCATGCTACGTTTATTAATGTGTTACTGCCACCAACTGTTGATCAGTGGGATAGCGTGGCTTGCATGGACTACATATTTGAAATATTGTCCTCTGCAGTCACCAGGAATGCGTATAGCATCACCTGTATGCTTGTGTGCCTCCTTGTGGCAGTAAACAGGGACATTGAACATAGTGCCCAGTGATTAAAAACTCCACAGGGTACCTTTAAATGAGTCCCAGTCCCGGGTCAAATAATTAAACGTGCCATTTGATAAAGTTAGGTAATGGATTGGATTGTGTTGAGAGGCGTTTCTAATATTGTGCATGCGTATAAATGGCAGAATAGAAACAACTCTCAATATAATGCTGTCCAGTCCAACACCACCTTTAACCATGGCCTAGATAATAAACTTATAATTGAATTTACACATCCCTGTCAAACAAAAACAAAACATTACGAGCTTGGTAAAGATGGATGATATTGCAGAGCCTGTTGTGTTGGACTGCATTAGATTATACAGGTCGACCTAATAAAGCACAAAGTGTATACTGTCATAATACCTACTGCTTCTATTACCTCTGCAAACACTACAGCTGCTACTGTGACGACTATGTCTTTGTGGCCATTTACAAGAATTCTCATATCAGTTTTAATAATACACACAACATGTTGGTCTGATCTGTGTTTTCTGGAAACTGTATATGCAGAAACATAACAATTGCCAGTGTATAATGAACGTGGTTGGCTTTAAATATATTCTATGAAAAGCCTGTAATTTCTTGCATGCCTTCACTAGCTAATCCTGTTTCACTCTTCCCATACATGTAGAATGAAACACTCCTCTCGATGAGATGCATTTGGTTTGGTCTTACCCCAAGGAAGAAGTGACTCATGAGTTATACTGTGCGTTGATGAGGATAAACATATTAAGGCGAAACTGTACTCGCAGTCATCTTAACAGCGTGTGGCTTGACCACATCATAATAGCGCTTTCTGGCAACACGGGGAACACCGACTCGACTAAACAAAAGGCCTTTATTGAGAAGCTGAGAGATTTAAATTCTTCCATAGGACCAACCGACCGCTGTTTATCACTTCATAAATACAGAGCTTACTCTCATTTTACTACCATCTTTCTTAACTTTGTATTATTGCAATCAGTGAGGCTCCAACAGAAACCACGTGTGCATGAAAAGAAGAGTTCTGCTTCCTTCCTTCTGTCCATCATTCCAGTCCTTTCTTCCATCCTTTTTCCCTCTTTTAGTCTCTTGCCGTCCTCCAGAGCTGACCTCTGTTCTGTCCCTCTCTCCACAGGGTGAACGGGGAGATGATGGAAGCCCTGGGGCCAAAGGCTATCCTGGCAGGCAGGTGCAGTAAATCTAGTGTTGCGGTGCTGGTTGAACAGGGCCACACACTTAGAAACACACACACACACACACACACACACACACACACACACACACACAAAGGAAAAAACAATAACTGGAGGCTAGGATATCACCTCTATTGTGAATTGAGCTTTTTGAAAATTGGGGTGATTTTGACCTCTTTAATAAATCAAATTTGAGCTAGTAATGTTTGCTTACTGTCAGGTTGATGAATGAAAAGGGAATTATAGGGGAAACACTGAATCCTTGTGTGTTTTCTGTAGCTAGAAAATAATCACATTTAAAGATATTGGATGTTGGCGAAAAAAAAAAATTCTCAGCCATCGGCGTCTCAGCATCAGCCTCCAAAAACCTAATTTGGTAAATCCAAATAAAAAGTTTATAGCAGCTGAATGAAAGGAAAAATGCCCCAGAAAGAGGGACAACAGCTCTAAACTATAGAAGCACCTGTGGTGGAATTTCAGCCACGGCTGCCCCCCCCGGTCTAGCGAGGAAATAAAATGTCAAAAAGGTTCCATAGGAAGCAATACCCCGAAGAAAGAAAGGGTAATAAAAGTGTGACTAATGCCACAGCTCCCCGGGTACAAATAAACCTCCTCTCTCCGTCCTAGCTGTTAGCGTCAGCCCTTGCCTCACTTCGAGGAATAGTGTTTAACTCTAAGAAGTCAAAGCTGGGAAACATTAGGGGTTTCTCTGCATTTAGAATCTGTTTCCTCTTAGCTTTAAGCAAATTTGAACTTCAAAAACAGCTGGACAACTGCTTACTCACTTGCGCTGTCTGAATGTTTATGATAACGTAGAGTTCAGGCACGGGTCTCGGCGTTTGCCTTGGTGCTGCAGCGCACTTACTATGTCAGGACTCTGATCCCTATAGACACTTAGTGGCGTGTGATGGATTAGGCTTTAGCACCCCCTACCATCTGTACGCTGTGAATCATTGGGGGCTGTAGGTCTATGTCAAGATGCTGCATTTTGCTGTGGGAAGAGCTCCTGAGCTGTGAGTTGATCTTTATAGTTGAAAGGGGGATATTTTCTGCACTGGTGGATTTGCTGGCAGTGTCTCTGAGAAATTGATGTGAACACTGCTGAAATATTAACACTGTAAATGTCAGCCAAGATGTGAATTAGGATTTTTAAAAAGGATGCAAAAATCCGGATAAAGCTGATGCTTATCATCAAGATGTGAGAATGTTTAACCCGGTTAGACTGAAGTTCTGCCACTGTTTGAAATATGTTTTGTCGTCTGTTACATGCAGGGTTTTCCTGGGCCTATAGGAAAAATGGGGCCAAAGGGAGTCAGGGTAAGTAAATGCTGGAAAAATACAGATGTGATGAGAATCATGTTTCTTCGCACTACAGCAGATGTGTTGAACTTTTGAAATGAACTGTGAAAAGCGTGCTCCTTGAATTACCTAACCAGTGCGGGTTTATAAAGAGACCAATGTCATAAACGCCACTCGTCTGCCCCTGTTAACGCCGTGATGACCGTGACAGATGGTTATGTTGGTGCAGATTTAAACTACTGTAGGAATAATTAACTGTGGCCTTCTTTAAATCCTCTCCAAACTTGCTGTTCTCGTTAACGTTGGGCAAATATCATAAAACTATTGCTCTGCTGCCGAGTGCAGCCATAACGCTGGTGCTCATGTAATGTCTTTGTAATTCCTCCCGCTGCTCTTTTCGCCAGTTCTCTCCTCTTCTTCCTCTGAGCAGGTACGGCAGAGAGATCTTCAGAGATCCCTGATGTGAGGGTATGTGCCCTTGGACTACATCGTGGAAGCCAGCACCATGCAGTCCATGGGCATATACACTTGCCTCAAGGCTTGGCTCTTCTAGACCACTCTCCACTGTAGCAAAAAAAAAAAAAAGAGCCTTCGGTGCTGTAACACATCAAAGCCTCGCAGCTCAATTCTTTGTAGATATTTTTAGACACGTGTTGGTGTTGTTGACATCGAACAGTTCTACTGTCCATCTCCATCTTCTCTGCTCAGTCTCATTGTGACCTCTTGTCCACCTTCTTTTGCTTCTCTGTCTATCTTTGCATCTGTTCCTCCGCTCCCATCTTTTATTCATCTCCCCAGGGACACATTGGCATCCCTGGGCTTTTTGGCCTCCCTGGTCCTGATGGCGAAAGAGTGAGTATTCGTGGCTTTGGGAGCAAATGCCTACTGGGTTGCATTATATGACTGTCCATGGGCCAAAATCATGAAATAGAAATAGATTTCATTCCTTGAAGTACTCCAGACACACATCATCAAATCACTTTCAGAAGCTCAAAGCAAGCTGCCTTATACAGTATCGGATCAAACGGAAACCTGCACCCCAACCTCTCCACTGTCCTGGATAAGGTTATAATGTAGGAGGTGGATTTAAATGTACTTAAACTCAGCCAGGGCTCAATATGACCCTCCAGGGCAGTGGATGAAATAAGTGGCACCAAATCTCCTGGGAAGTAATTTGGAATCTGTTTTTCGTTTTTAGTCGGTCGGCCTAGCCAAGTGGCATTACTGTCCTGTTGGCCTTTCAGTGCGTCAGTCAGTCTGCTCAGCTGATCCAACACTAAAACATGTCATGAACATTTGGATGGATTTAGAGCATGGTCCTTAGAGCATGAATCCCATGTCCCAAGTCAAAGAATTGACTTTTCATCTAGTGCCAACAAAAACAAAATGTCCACTATGACAGAATATTCATCGAAAAAAATAAACAAATTCTGTCTACATCAGCGGTGCTTTGAGAATAATGCTTTGGAGCTAACATGCTAAGGTTTCATATTGACTGTTGTATGCCAATTAGCATGCTAGTGTAGCATTCGGCTCAAAATACAGCTTAGCTCAGCCTCAGTACACTTTAATCTGATGAAAACTGAGCCACAATGAAGAACTTGAACCTGACGAGTCTGAAACGTCTGTACATGTTCTATATGTACATTTTTGCCCCACTAGTGGTAAGAACAGAAAAGTTGTTTCTCCATTGTTTGCGGAGCACCATGGCTCCAGACTGCTAGTCTGGCTGAGGCCATTCAGTCTTATCATCTAATCATTTTTATGTTTTTACATCATGCATTTCTATCTCTCCTTTAGTTCCTTATCCATTTTTCTCTGTCTGTCTCCCCAACTCTGTTTTCTTTCCTGTTTCCAGGGAATTCCTGGCGTTCATGGGAAGAAGGGCAAGATGGGTAGGCCGGTAAAGTTTTCTCTCAACATACTTCTCAGACAACATTGTTAATGCAGCCTCATGAAAGTGAGGATGTTGTGTCTTGATCTATGGACTCTTACTGTATTGCAGTGCTACTTTTAAAGGGTATTAAATGACCATTACTCTGACAGGGACTCTCGTTCTCTGTGAAGCCCCTCCTGACCTTAGTCGTAAATCTGTGAAGAAAAGCTGTGGTAGCCTCCACACTGGCACAATGATGCTAGGGGATTATTTTAGGGATTGTTGTAATGAGAGGAATATTCACCCTATATAGTGTAACTGAATCTAATAGGAAAACAAATGTTCATGTGTCAGCAGATTATATTTAATATATTGCCTTTTTTTTAAAATCAGAAGATACTGGCCTCGTATTAAAGTCAGCGTCTGCTCATTTATAAATCTTGTATGACTAATTTTCTCTGCTCGAAGTTGATTAGGAAACATCATACAGTACGTTATACAGTGTGCTTATTACCAGGCTTGTTTTGAATTAGACTGATATCATAATGTGATGTGTCAGTTGTGGGTTTGGCTATCTGGAGTCTCTACCCACAGACCAGGGAAGTCTATCGTCATTGGCGCCTGGAAGTAAATTTCCCATCCTTCCAGGCTTACATGGAAAACATTAATACTGCACATAACCGCTTGTGTAAATCAGATTTTCCCAGGCTCAGTCTGGTTGTACATGGTTTTTTTTCTTTTATGTATTATTATGAAGTAATGGTCAGTGACCATGACTGAGGTCCAAAAGTATGCTTGTAATAGCCAAGTCATGAGCAAGCCTTTTCTCTTCCTCTGTGGTGAAAAATGAGGTCAGTCACTTTGCGTAAGAAGTTTTTTTTTTTTTTTTTTTTCTCTGTGCTGAGTCAGCAGAAAAGCAGAATAACAGAGACAAACAAGAGATCCCACAATATGATTCACGTCATAAAGACTAAAACAGTTTGAACCACAAAAAAGCAAGTTCTGAGACTTTTTCCATTTCATGGCATCTGACAGCTTCCCTCCGTCTGTGTCAGCGTTATAGTTGGAAAGTAGAAAAGTAGCATTCTGTCTGTATCCACCTAGTGAATGGCTGGACCTCCACTGGATAGATCTCCTAATGACAGGGGTCTTGCCAACCTCACTGAAAGTTGTTGTCGACATGAGAAGAAAGACTTGCATGTGTTTCTGATCAAACCCGCTCAGTTATTGACATTTCTGGAGAGAAGCAAATTTTTCCACATTTCCTGTGGGGTTCATGTTGCACCAATTACCTCTTATTACTTTATCCACATTTGCCTAATGTTCGAAATAAGAAGTCTGCCACACAGATTCTATCTCTGCCATCTCTTGAGGTCGTCATATTTTTTAATTAGTTCTTTTCCTTTCCGTCTGCAGACAGAGAATAAGAGATCTCTGCTCTGTTCTGCGAGTTGTCATCTTTCTAACTATAACACTCGCCTTCTGTAGGCGAGTGCTGAGCCTTGATGTTGCAGTGGGTTCCATGTTGACCTTGGCACACTGACAAGCACATGTTGAGCGTGTGGCCTCACGGCTGCATCACGCCTCTTGTTCTGCCTCTATAATGGAATTACGAGCACCAAGCAAAAAAATAGACGCAGTCAGCAGTTCCTGGGCCAAGCAGCTTTATTCAGCCATTTAGGCAAGTCCTGGGGGTTTGGTTCGCGGGCTGCTGAGCACTCCCTGCCAGCACGAGCGCACACACACACACACACTTTCTTACACGCACACACACACACACATACACACACACACATACTTTCTTACACACACACACACACACACACACAGACACACACACAGACACTCGGCCGCTCAGAAACACTCAGCCATGGAATTTCCTGCCGGTCTCCCAGGAATGAAGTGCTGGGATCACATTTGATAGGATTTGCTTGGCTTTACTCTGCAAATTTCTGTTTTGGGAAACACTTTGTTGATCCCCTGAGTTTGGTGTGATAACTTCACCGACAAACCATGTGATATATAAATAAATTCAACATTTTAATATGGCTGTTTCGACCAAATGGTCATGATAGAAATTCAGTTCCCCCTGTGGTTACGTGACTGTCCTGTTTGTTTGTGTGTTCAGGGTTTTCCTGGTGACTTTGGAGAGAGGGGACCTCCAGGGCCTGATGGGAACCCAGTAAGTGAAACGATGTAGATACATGCACCCTTTACTCACACATGGCACAGTGAACTTCATCATGTCTGTCCTCAACATTACACCTGACAGATTTCACCAGATTTCACACTTTATTTAGCAGCTTTCATATAAAAATACACTTGTGACGACAAAAGCCAGGTCCATTCAGACCGGTGCACTATGTTTGAAAAGTGACAGAGTTGAAGTTTACTTGGAACTTTTGTTTTCCAGAGGGAACATTTTACTGTTGCACGAGCCGGACTGTGAGGCAAATCTGTGCAGTCACTTAGTAACTCACCATCATAATCCGTACTGATATATGAGGGCAGCATCAGCAGTTTTGCTCGCTTCTTTTTCTTGACTTTGACCCACACTGCTTGTGATTGACAGGGTCAGTGTTAGATTGTGATTGGCTGACCTCCGAGAGCCTCCTCCGGGCCTCATTTCCTCTCCCTCCAGAGGGAAGGGAAGGGGGGGGGGTGTTCCATTTGGCTGGATTCATCTCCTTTCATTCATAGCAAACAAGGAGGAGGCGACAGGAAGGCCACACTGGGCTGTGTGTCATCCATCTCTCCATTGGATGCGCAGCTTGGAGAGGATGTAGTCATGGCATGTGGTGTGGCTGCGGGGTAGATCATTTGGACAACAAGCCTCTGTGTGTCAAGTGCCAAGTGCTCATTCACTATGCTAAGCTGAGTGGAGAAACACATTAAGCCTATCAGTGGAGGAACAAACTAGTAAACAAACAAAATATCGAAAAAATGCTGTACACTGACATGCGTCTTCCTTCTGTCTGCTGCAGCTCTAAATATTTATCTGTCTCCGTCCATGTTGCATCTCTTATGCATCTCTTCTTCCTCCTCTCCCTCCCTCTTAGGGTGAACTGGGAGCTCCTGGCCCATGTGGAGTCCCTGGTCTTATTGTGAGTGTTGTATTCTTCTCACTGCTTGTATAGCTTTATATTTTGTGATTTATAGTTTGTATTTAGTGTCCTTGTTTCTCTTGTTTCTCCTTAAGTCCTTGTTTATCTTTTTCTTCCTTTTGGAAAGCAATAGGATGGAGCAGTAGCTGCTGTTTTTGAAAACTGCTATATATATAAAAATAGATTCCTTACTTGTTATTCTTACTAGTTTCTTTTGTCATCTTTATGGACATTCAGCTCTAAAAGTCCATCTGAGACTGAAATGCGCCCGTATCACTGAGTATCAGAAACTGTAAAGTGCCGAAAGGTGAGATTGAATGTCAGGCCATCTAAATAATCTCTGATCAGATAATTTTTTATTACAATCTTGTACTAAAACGTTTAATTTATGAAACATTCGGCTTCTTTTGTCAAACAAAAAACAGGGTTGTATATAAAAACATATAAAACATGTTTATACTCTTCATTGTCTCAGCACTGAAACTCAGGTATTCAATCGGCACAAGTATATAACAAGTTATATAATACCCAGATCTAGTTATGGGTGATTGAACCTGTGACAGTGAGCATGTGAAATGTATTTAGGTTTTATAGTTTTATTTGCTTATTGAGTTTTGTAAGTAGCTGTTTTGTGTGTGTTTTTGGTGACAGGGAGACATGGGCCCTGTTGGCATTATGGGCTTCGCAGGACCACCGGGACTCAAGGTAAACGATGTGGATATGTCGTGTATGTCTGTGGTTTGGATATTTGATGTGACATCAAAAAAACTACGGCTTGGCTCATTAGTTATTATTCTTAACCAGTATGTCTCCAAGTATCAGTGAGTTGCTCACAGACACTTTGTCAAACACTTTGCTGGTTTGGGGATGAAGTTTGTGAACGTTGTGAACTCTTCCACAGCATGGCCACACCTTCAAACAGCCTGACAGTGTAAACCCTCGTTAGCATGGAAAAAAGATGTTAATGTTTTTTTTTTTTTTTTTGCTTCCAAGGGAGTACCAGGCAACCTAGGGGAACCAGGACTGAAAGGTGATAAGGTGATCTGCATATGTCTTTCTTAGACCACTAACCCTCTAAATCCATGAAAGCTGGACAGCATGTCACAGGAGTGTCTCTCCGCAAGCATACACAAAGCTGTAATACATCAATACAGGTTGACTGAATAATTTTCTGCTGACATTCTGGTTATTGTTTCATTGTGCTCTGTGTTTTCTCAGGGGGACGTTGGCTTGCCAGGAGAGCCAGGGGAGTGTGGATTCCAAGGGGACAAGGTATGTGTGTGTTGGGGTGAGCTCAGGCGGCAGAGCAGGTCTTATAGACAGTAGGATGTGTAGTTTGATGACCGGCTTCTACTATCTGCATGTCAAAGTGTCCTTGAGCAAGACACTGAACTCCATTTTGCCTCCAGTGATTGGACGAGTGGGATCTCTACCACCACTGGTGTGTTTGTGTACACGGGTTAGTTAGGAGTTACCATTTATTTTTTCTTTTGTAGAAATGTATTTAGTGTGTTTCCGTATCCAAGCAGCATTTTTTGACCCACTTTTTTGTCTTGCTTTGTTTACAATGTGCTGCCTTTCATGTGACAGGGTATGCGTGGCTCACCTGGGTTGCCGGGTCCTCGTGGAAAACCTGGACCACAGGTATTTTCTATCCCCCTTTTCAAACACTGAGCACCAGCAGAGAACAAGATACAACAGCATAAATAAAGCTACATTTAGTTAAGGGGAGCTCCCAGCACCAGTGCAGAGAGCTGGGGATCTCTTTGATTAGACTGCATAGTTAAACTGTGATTAGTGATAGCAGAGTTTATCTCTATACTGCAGTATTTGTATAGAGATCATACTTACTTTTTTATGAATTTCTTTTCATGTGTAACTGCTTGTGGTTGTGTATCTCCTGAGTATGTAAAGCCCTGTGCTGTTTTTCCTGAGTGATCAATAAATGATTGGTGATAGAAGGCTGTGAGTAGACATAGCTTCTCTAAAAATTTAGTTGTGAACGCTATTTCTACTAAGAATTTTGAACCTAAAAGCACAGTGGTGTGCTCAGACGGATACAGTAAGTCATTGGTGCTCTTGAGTAAAATTCTGTGGAAATCTTCCAGTGTATACAAAAGCAAATCTCAGTCTGTGGGGGAATTTTAGTCCAAGAAATTTAAGCTAATCAAGCACAAACAACCCCTCAAAGAGCAGGGCCATGGGCAAATTCCCACTGCAAATGCTCCCTGAGCATTAAGACTAATCCACCAGTTGGCACTCATGTGCTCTTAAGTGTCCTTAATGTCTTGAGTGCTCTCTGATCCTGATTTGAGATTCCTGGGAAAACCCACTGTCTTGCTTGCTTGACCTGCTGTCTGATGTCTGCGTGGTGCAGCAGTGATAGCAGCCGTTCTGAGCAGCCTCGTTCCTCCCGTTCCTCCTATCAGGATCTTAACCTGCGCTCCAGTAATTTAGCCGATTTGATGTGGTGAATACTGTCGCGTTAAGAAAATGAGATCTCCATGTAGCTCATTTTCAGGGTTATATTAGATTGTTTTGATGTGGTATTGTAAATTTGGTTAAAGTTATTTTGAGGTTGTCATGAGATCATTTGTGACATTTCTCAGGGCAAACCTGGTGAAAAGGGCCCTGATGGTTTACCTGGCCCTCTTGGCCCAGAGGTAGGACGGATTATATTTACTAAGTATTATATTTTGACTAGCATATTTATGTTGCTCCATCAGTGTATTTAAAATGTTAATACAAAGCAGGTTGCAGAAGGTTTTCTGTCATTTTCACAGGGCTTTCCAGGTGACATTGGCCCACCAGGTCAAAACGGCCCTGAAGGACCCAAGGTTAGTCCAGTGAATTTGACTATTCAGACATGAATTGTCGAACTTGAGAAAAGCAGTGACACTCAACTTTCAGTCTTGTTATCCATAGGGAAAGCAAGGGACAAGAGGTTTGCCCGGTCCGAGAGGAACACCTGGACTTCAGGTGGGTTTGACTTTGGTGTGTTGATATTTTGAAAATGAACAAAAGATAAAGACATTTTTCTTCCTCTGACCTTTTGTGGCAATTTTCTTGTCAGGGTGATGAGGGACCAGTTGGGCCAGCTGGACCCGCTGGACTCGAGGTGAGTGCTGATTGGATGATCCGTGCAACTCAAGACACCATAACACCGTAATCATGTAGGATCTACTATACACACCAGACCACAATACATTCAACACAAAGCACTGTGTGTCTCTGTCTAAACTTAGCTTTTGCCTAATTTGCAATCTATGGTCTGTTATAGACAGCAAGGTCGTTGGCTGACTGTTCTCTCTATTGTTCTTAAGCTGTTTTGAAAGATTTCCTATTGGACACTGTAAACTCATATTACCAGATTGGTCAGCAAATTGTTATTCTCTTTCCTATCATAAAAAAATCACACACACACACACACACACACACACACACACACACACACACACACACACACACACACACACACAAATCAAAGCAACTATCTTTCAGTTTCAAATCAAATGTATAGCTGTTTGTCAGACTGATGAATGTTTCATAAAATGCTAAGTGCTGACAACAATGAATTATTAGTGTGAAGGGAAGTCAAATGTGCAGTAAAATCTATTAAAGGTTATGAAAAGTTACTTGTTTGTTTTTAAAATATCTCCACCCTATGTAGATTTATATTCTGTTTTCAGTATCTGAACATAGATCATAGTGGATAAAGAGGCCATGAAAGCCAAACTTTTGATTTAGTGAGTGACAGAAAGGATGGTTTTGAACTGTTTTGCAGTATAAGTAAAAGTCCACAGTGACTATTTCGATCCAAAAAAGTGTTTGTCATCCCGGGCTAAACAATAGAGGAGGCTTTTCCAGTGAAAATGGTTGACTCCAGTCCGCCATTTCCCTAATGTATAACCCACAAGTGATCACTGCAGACAAACACAAACGACCCAATGACTTTTGTGAGTAAGAAGAAGCTTTGATGCTGAAAATGGCTCTTTTGTTTTCTGGATCATTAAGTTTCTTAAAGGGATGTTGTTGTTTTGGCATCAATTGTTGGTCTTTTTTGTGCCGCGGCCTCTCGGGGGACAGTCGACTCACAGACTGCACCTTTTACAGGAGATACAAACAAGAGACTTTATTGTTTTGTTGTGTGGAGCTGCGGTACACTTCTATGTGTCATTTTTGCTTTCTGTTCAGGGCAGGCCTGGGAGGCAGGGATTCCCTGGATTGACAGGCCCAGACGGACCGAAGGTCAGACCTAATAGTCACTCATCCACCGCCGAACCACTGTCATCCTTAACTGAACATTCTCTCCCTGGTCCTCTTTTATGATAATGTATCATCTGAATATGTGTAAATGAGATGTTAATTCTCCGTTACGACAGGGGAACAGGCCTCCAAGCACATTTCGACTGATTTGAACTAAAAACGAAAGGCATGAATAAGTTTGTGATATGCTAATTGGCTGCTTTGCTGTAGGGCGAGACCGGGATAACTGGCGAGGTCGGAAAGCTTGGCGAGAGGGTAAAGGCTTTTCTCCCTCTTTCTGCTGATTTCTGTTTGATGCTCACTATGTGTCTGTGTGTGTCTGTTTTGTTAGAGCCCCAAAGCTGAGCAGCCTATTATGAGAAATTTAGCTTCAGTAGAACTAAGAGGAATAAGAAACGGTTATGACAGAATGTTTTCTCTTCTTCAGGGACTGCCTGGTTTTATTGGGCCCTTTGGAGAGATGGGCATCGCCGGAGAAAAGGTTAGCATGGTCTCAATTTGTCACACTTTGCTAGCATCACATCTGGTGTTGTCCGACATCCAGTTAAATCTGTTGTATTGCGTTCTGTTGGAATTTATGATTAGTGCTGAAACAATAAGCAATTACAGCGAATTGGATAATCAACCGTTTGTCATTTATCAAGCAAAAGATTCCAACTTCTCATTTATTTGCTACTTTTCGCAAATAAATATCTTTGAGTTTTGGACTGTTGGTCAGACAAAACCAGCAATTTGGGCTCTGAATTTTGCGATTAGCAGTCTTTTTTAAATATTTTGTTAAAAAGCTTTAATCAGTTAATTTACATAAGTATCAGACAGACAGATTAATCGATAATGTAAGTAATCATTCAATGCATCCTTATGTGAGATGTTTCTCTAATTGTTGCTTGTGGTTCCTCAGGGGGACCGAGGGAAAACGGGTGCCCCTGGGCCGCCAGGTGAACCGGGGCCGATGGTAAGGAGTAAGTCTGGACCCCGTCTCTCGTACCATGGGGCATTCAATTCTACATACGTAAGGGATGGGGGTGTGATATGTTTGGAGAGACTAATTTAAGCGATTAAACAATAATCGTCTAATAGAGAGATAATATAAGGCCATTCAGTTTTGTCAGAAATCTAGGAGCTAATTCATGATTTCTTTGATGAATAATATAGATTTAAGTGATGTTGTATCCATCAGGGTCACACTGGAATACCTGGAGAGACGGGGCTACCTGGAATGCAAGGGATCCCAGTAAGTTTACTGTTATCATTGTCATAGACTTGAAGGTAAACCAGAGACTACACGGGGCAGTGGTGCGGCCGGACCTTGTGTGATACTGAATACCAAGTCGGGAAGCAGTGTTTCACTGCACTCTCTTTGATAGTCACAAAATCTGTTGCACTTCTGACCACACTGAGTATCAGAGGTAGGTGTACTGTGTTGCATTAATTACCACATTCTGCAGGGATGTCGCAGTTACATCACTGCAGCAAAGTGAGAGGCTGGATTTATACCCTTTATGAACTTCATGTCTAATGGTTGGATAGCGTTGCCCCAAGTACAACCAAGTGCAACACTATGAAGGTTTTCCCTGGATTGACTGTCTGAAAATATGCACTGTTACCCCTGTTTTTAAATCACCTTGCGCCTCCCTCCTCTCTTTCACATTTGTGTTTAACTTCTGATGTGGAAGCATCACATTTTAAGAAATAGTTCTGAGATCAAACAGCTGGTCATTAAACTACTGGAGTTCAACTAAAATAAGATTTTCAGATAGTGTTAAGTTACTGTTGAAAAAATGAAAAATTCATTATTGGCTCAATTAATGACCCGAACCTTTGTAAAGGCACTAAAGGCCTTTTGACAGTTAACATCATATTAAAAAGCTCGGTTGCTGAGCACTGGTAATATAGGTTGGACAGAAAAAGGATATTTCAAACAGTTTCTATGTACCTGCATTCAACTTTCCATTGTTCCATTGTTCAATTGTTCCTTGTCTACAATAAAGACAAGACTGAGACTTAGACAGTTGTCTTGTATCTTAGTTTCCATAGTTTGATACAGTCAAACTCAAAGACGATTTCTTCTCACACATTCAGGGGCCTCTCGGTTCACGGGGATCCATCGGCATCAGAGGACCCAAAGGCATCAGGGTAAGTAACAGAAATCTGTGCGATAAGTTTATATAGCCATTAAATAATACGTGAATACTCTCTGTTAAAAATTATATGACACAACAGTTCAGTCTACTACCAGTTCATGGAATTAGCATCATGGGTCTCAAAAAGATTTTGAGCTTGTAAAGTGATGTTAACAAACGAGTCCATGATTTGTAGTCAATCAAAAACCCCCACCGACCTCCACCGCAGGTCCTGAAAGGTGTAGTAGGAAGATGTAGTAGGAAGGGCTCTTCCATGTCCCAGGTGTGTTTGAATACATACACTGCACATTAAATATTTACCATTATTTTCTGCAGCATCATCAAATATAATTAAACCCACTTGGGTTGTTGAAGAGCGAAATCTTCCACACGTGAGGCAACAGAACCACCTGCCCTCTGACTGAACTCTGCTTTGCCATTGAATTGTCATTGTTCAGTCTCATTCAGGTTTAAAAACAGGGTCAAAATTTGTACCTGTAACTTCAGCCTCCCACCCAGTGTGGGAACGCTGAGTTCTACATGCACTTTTCTTCTTTAGATCTGTACACAGTTCTTCACAAAAGCCCGTCCTCTTTCACAGTGTCTTTGTGTAACCTCACCACACATAACTTTTGTTCACAGATGTTAATCAGTCTCTTTTTCTTTTCTACAAATACAAATATTGTCTACACATGTACAGACTTGTGTATTTCTCATGCAGATTTATTTTACAGGTTTACAAAGGTTGATTAACAACTACAAACTTTGGAATTATTTGTAAAGATCATTTTACGAACTCAAAAACCTTTTGATCCTAGTTTGAGCCCATGCGTGTGGTCCAACACTCTGGTATAAACTGAAATATCTCAACAGCTATCAGATGAAGTGCCATGAGATTTTGTGCAGTCGTGGTCCCCAGAAAATGTTAATTTGTCCAATACTTTGCCAAATACATGCAAAACTAAACATAGTCGCATCAGCTTCAGCTGTACTTAGCTGTTTAGCACTAATTAGCAAATGTTAGCATGCTAACATCCTAAACTAAGGTGGTGAACATGGTGAACTTTGCACCAGCCAAACATAAGCTTGTTAACATTGTCATCATGAATGTGTTGCCATTCCAGCTTTAGCATTAAAGTATTACCACACAGAGCCACCAGCATAGCTGTAGATTGTTATAGTCTTGTTTCATATTTGCTCGTTGTTCTTCTCCATGAAAAAAAACAAGTTTATTGTATAGGAGAGCATGTGTTTTACACCCCCTGCAGCAACAACAACATTTTATTTGAAATAACTGGAAGAAGTGTGTAACCCTGTAAGAGCACATGAATACAGCCATGCACAGATATTTAAATCTCATCGAAGAACAGTGCACAAAGACCAGACTAAGTCTTGCTTAGGAAGAAAAAGCCTTCAGGGAACATAAAGAACAGTATATTGCTACATAGAAACAACAAGTAGAATCAGAGCATGTATTGCTAAAGCACATTAATTCTAATATGCTAAGCAGCTTGTCCCAACATCTTGCTTCATACTATACAATACCCTGGAGTTTCTGAACATGGAAACGTGTGTTCGTTGCTGTGTCTGCTATGAGCTCAGGAAAATTCCAGTGTTCGCTGGCTTTTCCATAATTGAGTTTTCTATTTTGTGAAAATAGCCCTTGGTTGCACAGCAGTATGACTGGACTGAATGAATAATTGATCTTACATGAGTAAGTGGTATAATTAAAGCATTTCATTCTCTGGATTGGTTTTACACGGCTCCCCTAATATCACAAGCAGTCACAAATGTAATATTTAATAACTATAATAACTGAAAATTACATCAAGGCTTTGGAAAATAGAATTAAGACCTCTATGATTAAAAACCGTTCTCCCTATTGCAGTGTCCAAAGTAATTCCCAATTAAAAAGAATGGGGGGAAAAAATAGTAATAACTCCTTCCTGTGCCCAAAGTTTTGTATTTAAAGTTGTGATATTATGTTCAAAAGGAAAAAAGGAGAAAAAGAAAAAGAAGACAATGGCTTTATTCCACAGGACACACATTTAAAAAATGTGATCCTTGTGTAGGGGTAAAAGCAATATGTTTTATTACTTCTCCTCCTTTGCTTTTTGTTTTCTCTTGCCTTTTATTATTTTTTAAAATTTCACTTCTGGAGGATTTAGTTACACCTCAGTCATACATCACCATCATATCACTGTGTCATTCAGAGTCTCCTATGTCCTCATCCAATCTCACTCCTCTGAATTTAAGCAACTTTTCAATCATTTTATCTCAGCTGTTTCCTGTGCCTCTTCAAGTTGAATGGAAAAAACAGTTTAGACTGTTTATGGATGGAGAGATGGATAGTAAATGTCTGCGCTATAAAACATCTCGATCTTAATAAGTTATATTGTCAATCTTGATTTCCCCTCTAAAAGTGAATCCAGTGGATTGAGATCAGCTGTAATCATCTGCTTTTTCACGTGTTTTTCACTTCTGAACTGGAAAAAACTGCACCGGAAAAAAGTAAAATTATTCCCTCATGTCCAAATGTCATTCATTAATAGACAAAACAAGTTTTAAATAAACTAGAAATGACTTCTTTTTTTTTAAGTTTAATGTGTCAATATAACAACACAGATGATTCAAAAACAGGCAGTATGTGAAAAGGTCAGCTTCATTTATGTAATAATTTACCTTTTTGGGTGATCAGAAAGCTTATTAGGTTTAATTCATATTCTATTTCATGTTTAACACACGTTTCACAATTCTGGTAAAAACTGTTTTCCTTGTTTGTGTCTTATTACCAATCAGCCATTAAAATGTCAAGACGTATAGGTAGGAGCTGTATTTTGCTGTGGCTCTTTTTACATAACTTTTATGTGAGATGCAAAAAGCAAAACACACAGTCAGTCCTTTAATGTTTTCTGATAGTTAATAGTTTGGTTCAATTTAAAAGGCAAGAATGAATCAGCTACAGGATTCGTGACCTTTTCCCAAGGCTTCTTTACAATAACGGCAGTGTGCAGACAGTACCACTGTGTGTGATCGTGGAAAGATGGGGACAAAGTCTACACAGTGTGGATTGGGCACACTGTGGAGCTAATTCTCAGACGCCAAGTATTTGCAAAATAGCCACAATCTTTGATCGTGTCTCTCCAGTGAGGGCTAAACCATAGTACACTATAAAACCAAGAGAATTGCCTCCCAGGCTCCAATAAACAGGGATGACAAAAATGGAGATTGACTGGCTAAATTCATTTACTTAATGTATTAAATAACATGTGCCTCAGGTCTGTTGAAGGGCAAGTTTTTCAAAGCTATTAATAACTGACAACTTACATTTCTTTGTGCAGGGTCCCAGAGGTCCCGATGGCCCAGTGGGGGAGAAAGGGTCTACAGGAATGAAGGTCAGCACATGGTCAAAAAGTCAAAGTTGACCCTGGTTAATAAAACATCTTCAGAGCCTCTTGTTGAGTTCAAGTTTGTGGTAAATTGCTGATAATGTTACTTTACATACCAAACTGCCTTAGAGCAATGTCTGGCTTTAAGCGTCCTAATTGCACACATCAAATCTATCCCATGGAAATCAAGGGTAAACAAAATGACTCAAGTCTCTGAGCGGAGGGGAAAAAGTCATGAGAGCTTTCGTAGCAGCTTTGTTCAGCAGACTGTAATTATTAACTATTTTTAACATCTGAAGAATCTTCAGAGGACACTCTCACTACAAATCTAACAACAGAACCTTAAATCAAAGCGCCCTAAAATATTGATGGTGCTGGAAGTGCTTGGCAGCCGGGAACATTTTAACTCTGGGGGATTTTAAAAAGCTGAGTTAACTGAGTTGGATGTTTTCTTTGCAGGGCCCTGACGGCCCACCAGGAAAACCGGGCTTCCCTGGAGAGACGGTAAAATCAGGCTTCTTTGCTTTCCTCTCGTCACAGTAATGACATTATTAGCAGTATTAGCAACAATCCTGGTTAGAGTACATTTGCTCATGTGCCCTCTCAAGGTTGCAGAATAAGTATCTAGGATAAATAGAGAGAGATGTTGATGCTTTTGTCCTAATGAAGAAGAATTTCCTGGGCTCTTTTGGAGAGAGACTTCTCATTATGGCAGGGGCAGAGGGACAGTCTCGCAGTTTATATAAGCTGTGTGCTTGTTGTTACATACAGTTCATGGTCAAGTAGGATACATGTCTACTCAAATCTATTAAATCTACTAAATTGTGAACACAACAAAAGCTTCATGTTGACATGTTTTCATTGTTTTTCTTCAAGGACATCATGTCTTTTTGACTGCCAGATGTTCAGTCCGTGCATCCACAGCTGGCCTGTGAACTTCAAGGGATATCTAATTAGTGCAAAGCAGTTTATTATATGATTTTTTTGGGGAAATTTATCAACATTAAGATTCCATTCTTCACTGGTTCTAGCTTATGAAATGTGAGGTTTTTGCTTCTCTTCTCTGCTCAGAGCTGAGCACTAGTCTCATGCTGACTATGCCTCACTATGATATAGTCTTAAAACCTGTCTGACTGTACTTATTTTTTTGGTGTTGTTGTTTTGCTGCAGGGAAAGCTTGGCGAGGCAGCTGAAGCCGGGCCTAAGGGATTTCCAGTAAGTGTTTGGGGCTAACAGAGGTCTCTTTTAGGTCAGTCTTGATTTTTGGGGTGGCGACATTTTGGGGAACAGTAGTGGATAAGAGAGACTTGTGTGGCACGCTGTTTCTCTAGTGAGTGTTGTGGCATTTCGACATGTTTATGAATACCAGTAGTGTTTGTGTGTGTGTGTGTTTGTTATAAACGACTATATTATTTTCAGGGTGTTCAGGGACCCTCGGGACCTCCAGGAGCCAAAGGAATTGCAGGAGAGCCTGTGAGTTTATTTGCCTCTATGACTGAACCCTATTTTGGTTCCATAATTGAAAATAAACCTCATTATCAAAGAGCTACTGGATGGTAATGCTTTTTCTCTCAGTTTTTTCTTTCTTACGCCATCTGGTTCAGATATGTAAAATTTTGGAAGCTGCTGAATCTCAGAGAGGATATAGGCAGAAACCATAGTGTCTCATTATCTATAATGATCTGCGGCTCTCCAGCACCTACTGTGCACCCTCCTTCTCGCCCTTACACATAAACTCTGAATTTCTGCTTTGACACCTTTTTATTCGGTGCATCCTAGAAACCCACAGCCTGTCTAAAATCCGTGAACAACCTAATCCTCTTTCTCTTATTCTGTCCAAGTCTCAAAGACACCAGCAGAGAGGTAGTGAGTCTGAGACAATTTGATTTACACCGTCTCCTTCCTGGAGAGGCAGCTGTATTGTAGCCTGAATGTGTCTATAACAGCAGGCCTGTTTCCATCACTTGCAGAAGCTTTGGCTCAGTATTTTCAAGGCTCTTAGCCCTACAGATTAACTTATCTCCACAAATCCACACTTTCTGCCTGGTTCTTATTTCTTTTCACATTTTTCCTCCTTTACTGTCACTTTCAGGGGTGTTTGTCCAAGATTAGAAAACACTCTTAACCTTTTTATTGATGCCTCTGCTTTGGCATCGCAGGGACCAGCAGGGCCCCTGGGAACGATTGGACCACTGGGGGAGATGGGACTGTCGGTGAGTTTGATCACACAGCTGGCGCAAGACCTCCTACTGACTTTAACGTTAGGGTTGAATGCTAAAGGCTGTTGCTGCTTGTGACAGGGTCCGCCAGGGAAGGCTGGAGAGAGAGGACTGCCTGGTGAAACTGGAGAGAAGGTGAAGATGATGATGATGATGATGATGATAAAAGCTGTTGAAATTGTTATAGATTCTTGAGATATTGGACTGGTGGATGTGTACTTATGTTAATGTCTTACATCATGAAAATTGGTATGGGATGATTACATTACAACAACCTTTGCCACAGTAAATGGTTATTGCGAGGCGAGTGGGGGACCTTCTGCTACATGGAACCGTATTTGTGTCTCAGTCCTGGGAGCCAGATGGGACAAGATTTTTATAAGCACATAAATTATATTTTATTGAGAAATTATTATCATTTAAAACATGATTCAATTTGAGCAAACTAAAACAAGGTGTGTGACCTAAACTGTATAAACTAGTTGCATGTGAATCTGCTTTGCCCACAGTACCTATCTAATAATCACTAATCGTACTATCCACTGTATTGGAAACAAAACAGCCAATCAGAAATCACGTACTTGAGTTTTCCAACTAGCTGAGGTTGTGGCATAGTAAAAGTGAGGTTATTGAGCATTTAAGGTTTCAACAAAAGACATATTATGTGCCTAGAAAACACAAATGCCCATTTGCAAGCTCAGGGTTTGGAGTGCAAACATAATGCCATACTAGTCTCCTTTACTGAGTAATTAACTCTCAATCAACTGTGGTGGAAACAAAATCAAAAAGATACAACACATCACCAGTATCATGTTTCTTCCCCTGGCAGGGTGCCATCGGTCTACCTGGCAGCATCGGGGAGCAGGGTCTGATTGGCCAGAGAGTGAGTAGCCCCTGTTTTTCATTCAGTTAAGTCTTAATGAGTTCAAGTGAACTGAATTTACGTTGGCAAACCCTCCAGTATATTGAGAAGTGGGCAAGTCACTTGCGACACAGCGTAATCCAAGTGGTAAATTTGTTTTACAAATTTTAAAAAAAGCAGTTTTATTATGTGCTTGCTTCACATCTGTTTTTGTTTCCTGCAATTAGTGTTTTGTGACACTGAAACATGTTGCAGACATATTTTTTTATGATTATTTATCAGGGTGAGCCAGGCATCGATGGGGAGGCTGGATCAAGTGGACCTGATGGAGCTAAGGCAAGTATGAAAATAAAAGACCAAATCTGAGATATGCATCACTTGGAAAAAAAAAAACAACTGTGTTTTTAATTGCCCACAGTAAAAAGAAAAAAATGTTTTTTCAAAACTTCAGATTGTAATCACATTGTTGTCACTGATTTTAACATAATTTTTTTCTGTCCTGAAGCTGCATATCTGTGAACCCATTGAACTCCCCTGTTCACTGCAGCAGCTCACTGTAATTAGAGCAAGATGAGTATTGTTAGTAAGATATTGCCCTTTGTACAGTCGGAGCTGTGTTGTGTTGACACTTTAGTGAAAACAGATAGAGTGGCTATTTTAAGAGCTCTACTGTCTGGCAAGTGTTGTGATCGAAAAAAAAAACCAACAAAACACAAAAAGTACAAAAGCCTGCCTATTCAGCAGAGCCAAACTGCTGCAAGTATGGCTGACAGACCCACAAACAGCCTTTGGCTTAGAGAAGGTGGTAAAATGTGAGCACAGAGAACACAGAGGATTAGAATAGAGTCAACCTGAGACTCTGTTCAGCTCTGTGCTGTACAGGACGTTTTCTGTTAGTCAGGGGAGTAAACTACTTTGAGCAGTTCTTGGCCAGAGTGCAGCTCCTGGATGGAAAACAGCAGCTCAAGAGGGATTTGCAGCTTTGACTGTTAACTGTTACGACAATGAAAATCAGTCCATTGTCACGGTTCATTGGCGTATTAACTGGTGAATTTTGAGTTTGAAATTTAACAAATACATATATACACAAAATCATTACATCCTGCAAAAGGTGTGAGTAATTATGGTAACGTGACAGCCCATGGACTCGATGTCAGTGTTTGTCATCAGCATTTGAATGATTTTCAGACGATATAGACATGGTGAAATGAACATTGAATTCTGTAAGAAGTAAATCAACTCTGTCACTCTATATATACTTTTGACTGTTTCCTTGCTCCATTCTTTAAGTTATACATGTAATTCTTGTTTCTAGGTTGTGAGAATATTCAGTGTTTGCCAAAGAGCCATGGGCTTTTGTATATCTGCAATATCAGCTGCTCTTGAGAGAACCAATATTTATATTTAAATAAAGCACCACACAGTTAGAGTGAAACGTGATCCTCTATTCGGAAAAAAACAACATAAGTAAGACTGGGGCTAGTGATCTGCTTAGCAAGTAGGTGAAGCTATAAGAAATATTATCTGTACACATGCCTTTGAAATGAATGTCTTTTTGTATATTTCAGTCAGTTGATATGGGGAATGCTGGGAGAGAGGGGTATGACAGCATTATGAAATAGGAAAATGTCCAAACAACACACCCTCTTGTGTTTAAGGTCTCAAATGATATTTTAACCTGTGCAGATAAGAGCGCTGTTCTCTCTCTACTAGATCTACTAGATAGGCTCACTGCCTCTCTTTTCCTGTGGTGTTTCTCATTCTCTTATTCAGCCAGGCCTTGCTTTACCTGTTTTTTTAAATTATTAAGCAGGTGGCCAACAGCAGACAGCCAATAGTTTCTTTCAGTAAAATTGCAGCAAAGCTGAAGTCCTCATGCTCTGTTAGTATAGCATCAAAACTGCAGCTGAGCCTCTGCTCACTTTCTGGTGACAATTGATGCACTTGGGAGCACATGCACCTTGAACACGTTAAATCACTGTGACATTCTTCTTTCTTTTTTTTTTTTTTCCATCTTTCGAAATATCTCCAAATTACAGCCTGTTGTGTCTCACCAATAAATTAGTCATGCTTTTGTGTCATTCTGGCTAAACTACTGTAACTCTCTGTTTACATGCCTGAGCTGTCACTGCAGAAACCACCGCTAGCTCAGAGCGCTGCAGCAAGACTTTCATGTCGAGCCAGCTGCAGAGCTCACATCTCTCCTGTCCTGGCTTCGTGTCATCGGTGGCCTGTGAATACTGGATAAAATGAAAGATTTTATTTATAACCTGACACGCTCTTCAAAATCACGCTCCTGCTCAGATCTGTAGACTCTTAACCCAGAGCTTGACAGGCACTATTCTGTGGATCAGGTGGAAGTGACTGTTCTTCTGGCAAAATTCAAAGATATGGGCGACCAGGCTCTTGTTGTTGTGGACCCCCCAGGTTCTGCTGTAGTCTTTCTGCTGACATTTTGTCAGGTGATGATGTGGAATATCATATGAAAACCTGTAACTACAGACAGATCTTTCATGTATTTATTATTTACGCTTGCCTTCTGAAAATGATCATTTTTTTTCAGTCTGAATATTTTATTCAGGTATTCAAACAGGCCAAAATCCTGGCTGCGATTGCCTGTGATTACATCAAAATAAACCAGTATATTGTAAGTCAGATTGTGATCATGTTCTTTATAAGACTTGTAACGCTCTTCTCAGGGTGAAAAGGGGGATGCTGGTCCAGAGGGCGCTAAAGGAGACAGGGGTGAAATCGGCCTGAAAGGAAACGAAGGACCTCCCGGGCCTCCTGGACTGCTGGGTGTACGGGTGAGTGTTTCAGCAGCCAGCTCTGAATTTCATTCAATTCCCATGAAAAGACAGATGTTTTTGTCAACTCACAGCCCTGTTCAATTTTCTCTACAAGGGTCAGGAGGGCAAGCCTGGCAAAATTGGTGAAAGAGGGAAACGAGGAGAAAAGGTTTGTCAGTTCACCTGCTCAGGGCTGAAATGCAGCATTCGCTTTTGGATGCCTGTCAATTTGTTCTCTCGCACAAAGAGTTGAATAGTTCTCTGCTGTAGTAGTAAACAGTGAGGTCAGGTGGAGGTGTTTGTCAAGTAGACTTTCAGTATTAAATGTTTGAATTGTCAAACAACCCGCGCAGCAGTTCAGCGACATTTGCACACTCGCTGCATACCTGCTCATTGATGGCTTCTCTCCAGGGGAGCAAAGGTCACCAAGGTCACCTGGGAGAGACCGGGCCAATCGGTGAGCGGGGAGAAATGGGATTTGTGGGACAGAAGGGCACGAGAGGAACCATCGGGCCAGTGGTGAGTTTTTTAGAGATGGATTGAGGGACTTAATTGGTTGTTGGTGGATGTGGGCTAAATATACATATTTCCCCAGGGTGCTCCGGGGAGAATGGGCCAACAAGGAAATCCAGGCATATCAGGTTACGAGGTAAGCACTTCTACATAAACAGTGATGGGATAATACGCTTCGTTGCAGGATGTTATGAAAGTGAGTGCACTTCAAAAACTCTACACTGCAGTCAGTTCAGAAAGGTTAAAAACTGTGACAACCTTCTTAAACCTCTAAAATAAAGGAATCCTTCTTTCCCTGTTTCTATATAATATATTCTATGGAAAGAAGAACTTTTATTGCATGACATAATATCGGATGTGTGTGTGTGTGTGTGTCAAAGGGCGAAAGCAAGGAGGGTACATTGTTGGCAGGCGCTTTATCTAATGATGAAGTAATGTCGAAATGTGCAATGCATTCAGTAAATCTTTTTTTTTTTTTTTTGAGTGTGGGGCCCCTTTGTCTTGATATTACTTACATCTTTTTCCTTGAACCAGCGTGTGTTTTAAAAAGCCTGGACAGTTTTTAGAAATGTATCTCATCCAGGTTTACATTTCATACCAAATATTGTGTGAGACACTTTGCTTGTTGATTAATCGCAGGCTGGTGTTTTGTGCTTCCTCTTCATTTCACAGTTGGGGAAATCCTCCTCTAACACTTGGATGTGTCAACAACCCTTTGTGTTGTTTTGGTTAATGTTATTTTTTATGAGGTGCAGGTGAAAGCACTGCTCTGTCAGAGTCTTCAGCCTATTATTTAACTGTGATTTCTCTTGATTCTTTGCTATTTTAAATGTATAAACCAAACTAAAAATATGTCATCTCATGTTGATTAATGGCATTGTGCCTAGAAGTAAAACATTATATAATTTTTATTCATTTTTGCCTTAAAACTGACCACTAGAGGGCAGAGAGCAGGAAACATCTGTCTAATCTTCAGTGGGGACCAAACATGGACAAATCTTCAAAGCATCAAATAAATGAAAAAAGAAAAAGAAAACACTGAATTGCAAAAAAGAGACTGGTTTGTCTTTCTCTAGCTCATCATGTCTGCTTGCAGCTAGCTAAGTGTACCTCCCTTCTATTTATTCGTACCAATGAAGAAGGTGCTTCATATTTGCCAGTTAAAATATGGGAATGACAGAGAATCTTTCTCTTATTTCTTGTACAAAGGAGATAAAAACGGCAACGTTGCTGGTCTGAACCTGTGTATACACATAATAAATTCAGGATAAGATGGAGGTGAGAAACTGATTATTGCAGACTTAAAACTAAAGCAGAATCAAATTGTCTTGAACGATGAATCACAAAATTGCGTTCTTTAAAGTGATGATTGATGACACTGTTTCAGAGGTTTTGTCCTCCTCTGTCTGTAGCTTGATTCCATGTGTTAAAGTAACAGCTGAGTGGACGGCTGTGAGGTTACAGCCCTGAAATGAGATGCAATCACAAACTCTTTGTCTTGTCATAGGGTCACATGGGACCACAGGGCCCACTGGGACCTCCTGGGCCAAAAGGTGAAAAGGTACATTCTGAAAAATTATTTGCTGTTCCTAATAGCTATCTGAACTTTAATCGTGTCTGATGAGCTCTGGGGGCCTGATATGGTTATTTAACAAGGTAAAACCATCATGCAGCACATTGTCTTTGAGTGCATGGTCAGTTTAATTAATGCATCAGGACTTTAGTTGTGTCCCTAATTAGTGCCTCTTCTGTCTGTCGTATATTACTCTACTCATCCCTAATGTGATCGATGATTTGAACCAGGACACATCCAATTATCTAAGTTCTGTCAAATGTATATAATTTACCAAGCACCTGGACTCTTCTACTCATGATTTTAGGGGATATTAGCTCCATAATTTGTGTTTATTTGACAGGAGCAGCACACAATAGAGCAAACTGTACCAGAGTTTAGTGAGATGCTAATTTGCAGTTGTTTTTAGTCCCTGGGCAGGAGCCATCTGGATGTGGATATTTGTTATTTTCTCTTTGCCAATATCCTCGAAATAATGGTTGTGCTTGCTCTATAATTAAAATCAATATCATGCTATCACACGGGTCATTGCAAAATTTATGATTCTCAATTGAGAGAGCCAGGTAACACTGGCACTAAAGCATGCTGCAGATAAATACTTATCCCAATCACAGTTATGTTAAAAGCTCTAATGCTACAATATATTGCTTTTTATCCATGTAAGTGTCACTTTTGTTCGGCCCCTGGGCAACACCAATTATCCCCCTACTTTCCGATGCCTGCTGCGCTCCTCTTTTATTTATTTAATTTGACATACGCACAACACATGACTAATAAAATCATACACGCACCCGTGGTTATTGGTTAATGAATTCCATAAAGACCCTGGAACAGACATTGGCACCATTTATGTGAAATGGGATCATTGTGGATAATAGCGAATGTAATGATTTGCCATTCATGTAAAGAGAGCAGGCAATGTGTTTCCATTGTTATACTCTTTCAAACAAGCGCTGCATTGATTTTGCACAGACCATTGGGTTTTAGGGAAATGCTATTGATTGCGGTTGTTTGTCTATTTCTGCACTGCTTGTTTAGGGTGAACAGGGAGATGACAGCAAGGCTGAAGGTCCTCCTGGTCCCCAAGGTGACAGAGTGAGTTTCTTACGTCTACCAGTTTTTTTTTTTTTTGTATTGTTTGTTTGTGGTGTTCGGGATTCTTTAATTAATTTGTTTCTACATGAATCCAGGGTCCTCCTGGAGACAGAGGAGAGAGAGGAGAGCCAGGTGACCCCGGACACATTGTGAGTGAAATAAAAAAAAATGATATGTTGTTTGCTTTCTTCAGGAATAGTGTCAATCAGGGTTAAGTTATGTTCTATACATTGAACTGCAGAAATTTACATTTTCCAGGGTCAAATGGGTTTTGATGGAAAGAGAGGTGAAGCTGGTGCCTCAGGGCTTCCTGTAAGTATCCCATGTATTCCTCTTGAAATGTAAAATACATCGACACTGTGTCAGACTGCGCAAACACAATCAGTGTAATTCAAATCAAACAGTAATGATCATTTTAGGGACATCTTGGGCCAAAGGGACGACCAGGGCTGAAAGGATCCAAAGGTGATCAAGTAAGGACATAAATAATAGAGGCATGATTTTGTTGTATGAGAAAACTGAAGCATTAATGGACTGTATTGTCAGTCATGCAACCATGTCACAACTGTGCAACATGAATTCTTTATGCTCCAGGGTCAGAAAGGAAAATCGGGGGCAACAGGAACATCTGGGACCAAAGGACCACCAGTGAGTTTGATGCTTTTCTTTTGTCTAAATTATAATCAGACATAACTGATTGTTAAGACCCTTGAGGTAAATTTGTGATATTGGGCTATATAAATAAAATTTGACTTGACTTGAACTCACACTCAAACTACATGTTACTATTTAAAATCAATTCAAGCTTTCATATTAATGTCACTCGTTGTCTTTCATAAGGGTCCAGAGGGTCCTCCTGGCCCACGGGGGGTTGTGGGCAGGGAGGGACTTGAGGGGCCGCATGGAATGGATGGACTGCTTGGTAAAGATGGAAGTAAAGGAGTCAAGGTGCGGACAGTGCAGTTTGCTTATTTGTTGCTAAATTAAATTAATATCCGCTCTGATCATGATCACTATTTTGTCTTTAGGGGGAGCAAGGAGAAGACGGAGAGGTGGGGTTCCCCGGAAAACCTGGGCAGCAGGGTAAAACGGGTGTGACCGGGCTTCCTGGAAGTCAAGGCTACTTTGGACAGAAGGTGAGAACGACGGGTGGACAATTTGCACCACTTTAATTGCTTGTGCTAAAAAAGTTTTGATCGTATTCACAAAGAACTTGATCTTAAAGCATATTTTATAGATTACAATGCAGGCAAATTTATTGCCAGTATCAAATGCAAACTGCCAACTCAGCTTTCATATGTCAGGGCCGCTTCCCTCGACACTATAAAGCTGCCTTTATATTTGGAGCATTTTCTGATCTCAAAGGCCAAAGTCTGCACAAAGACTTCTCTCAAAAGACCTCATATTCACTGCAATAATTTCAGGAAATTACTGTTGCAAAATATTAATGAGTTGGCAGAGTATCGATTTGCATGGCCCTGCCAATGTTACATAAAATTTACATATGCATGACTGTGACAAACACAGAGAGGCTTTATTTATTGGACCTGTGGTATTAGGCAATTTTGACCTCACTGCCTGTGGTTTGGGCATAAAGTTCTGATTTGGACTTGTATTGGTGATTAACATGCACATTTATTGAAGCTGGACAGTTTGTTATGAGGTAAACTGTAGTTTGGTTCCTCTGCTTCCTGTGATAATCAAACTTTAAAAAGTATATTGGGGGGCACCAGGGTGATGTAGGAGGAAAGGCACCAGCCCAGCGCTGCTCATATCCAGGTTCAGTTCTTGGCAGTGCTTCCTAATTGGTCAGGGGCCCCACTAAATGCAGTTAGCTGTGTCCATTGGTGGGAAACCAGTGAATGATCATGAACTTGTTGCTGCATCGTGGCTTCTACAGCTGTGTCTGATGCAGAGGTTGTCGGGTGGGATGTGAGGAGGATGTGCTTGTGTTTATGTGTGTTTGTGTTTGTGTGTTTTCTCCAGGGTGAGAGGGGTCTTCCAGGCCAAACCGGTCCATCAGGAAAAAGAGGCTCTATTGGTGGGATGGGATTGCCAGGAAAACAAGGAGACCAGGGAACTAAAGGGCAACCAGTGAGCACCGACTTGCCGAAATAATAACTAACTGAAGTTCTTTTATGTGACAGTGTGCTGTGAAAAAGATGACCACACTTTCCTTTCTCTTTGTGTATCAGGGGGATACTGGGGAACAAGGATTTCCAGGGGTGTCGGGTCTGTTTGGGCCAAAGGTATGCTCCCACCAAGCTCTACTCACAACTGAAATGATGACCTCGGGTCAGTCAGACCTATCAAGTTTAATTTTCCAGTCTGAACTAAGTTCTTACCCTTTTGGTCAGAGCTATCATATTGCGCTAAGACTTTAGAATGATCCAAAAAGTCACTTTTGTGAAGTTTAAACGCCTAAAATTGTCTTGAGGTACATTACATTACATTATCTTCAGTAATAATTGCTATGAAAGCTGTTAGGTATTACTATAACATGCCCCAGGATAACATCTGCTACACCATAAGTCTGCTTTACTTACTGCACTATAGATTATTGCCAGCTGAAGAAACAGAGCAGGCTTTACAAGAGTTTCATTTAAAACCCTGAGAGAGGCGTTGGATATTTTCCCACTGTGGGAGTTGAACAGGAGCGTGAAGCAGATGAGCTTTGTGTTAGTGTTTAGTAGAGTTTATAACAGTTGTTCTAACTCAGAAGCAATGAGTAAGGATAATTAAAGTCAGTAAAATCAGATGAAGTTGCAAAAGTAAAGGCTCTGTAACAAACTGCTTTAACATCCTGTTGGAGTGATTCTTAATGGCTGTAATGGCAACAGTACTGACCTTATTCTAAATAAGAAGAGAGATTAAGCTGTTTACACTTGTTTCTTACAAAGGTTTTCCACTTCCTCAGAATTACTACATTAATGAAACATAAGCTGTTTTTTTATTATGGTACTATTATGGCAGAAATGTAACAAAAACACAGCTGCAAACCCTTTATTTTTACAGCTATATTTGGTTATGATCAAAACTGGTAGCATATGTGCTGTTAAGCAGTTGGATAAGCAGTTGAAAGCGGTGTATGAAAATATTACATCTTGGCCTCACCAGGCTACAACATTTGTTTCTGTAACGAACAGAGCTGTTTTGTTTGTTGTTGCCCAAAGACGTATATAGGAACCATAGACCATAGAAAAACATCTGTGGCACACCTACAAGTTTCTGAATTGGCATTTTGAAGCTTGTGTTTGGGTTTCAAAGCGCATGGGAACCTGGGTGGCAGTGAAGCAAATACTGACCCAAATGCACCTCTTTTTAAGCCTTAATACTGGAATATTACAGCAGGTTCTGAGTTTGAACCTCTCAGCTTTTCTGTGTGGAGTATGTTCTCCTCATGCCTGCGCGGGTTTCCTCCGGTAGATCCGGCTTCCTCCCACAGTCCCAAGACATGCAGGTTAGGTTAATTGGCAACTCTAAATTGCCTGTAGGTGTGTGTGAATGGTTGTTTGTCTCTATATGTTAACCCTGTGATAGACTGGCGACCTGTCCAGGGTGTACCCTGCCCCCCCACCCAATGTCAGCTAGGATTGGTTTTGAAATTCAGTGTACTAATAGCATACTGTAACAGTATATGGAGTTAATGTGTGGGTATGGGACTGGGGGCACAGTGTATTTTCTTAATTTCACCACCTAGTGGCCATTAGAGGAACTGTAGCTTACGATATTTCAACTACTAAAGCATTTAACAATGTTTGTTGCCATTTGCTAACCACAGAGAAATTTGTCAGTGTATTAAATCCTACCTGTTGCCAACAGAGGTCAACAAAGGTCATTGATTACTTAATACTGGTTTAACCTCTGACTCACCTCATCCAGTCATACAAAACAATTGTTTGTGTGTTTCTAGGGACCACCCGGAGATACTGGCCCAGCAGGGATACAGGGGCCGAGAGGACCACGTGGTTTGATGGTACGATGAAGATTAATAGTACTTTGGTAACTCAGTGGAGTACTTCAGCCAATGCCAGGGTGCTCAGCTCTCAAAAACTGCACACTTGCCGTGAAAAATAAGCACTGCTTCGTCAGATGCTCCATCATACGTGTCCTCAGTCACTAACATGCCTCTGCTTCCCAGGGTACGGAGGGAGCTTTGGGCCCCGTTGGCATCATTGGCCCCAGCGGTCATCCTGTATGTATCTCATATCTCATCCTATCTGCCAAGCTTTATGTGACTTCTCTCTGCTTTCTGGCAGTGATGGAGTGATCCTCTGTCTCCTTTCTCTCCATCAGGGACCCCAGGGTGACAAAGGAAGTCGGGGGGAGACGGTGCGTGGCGCTGTTTTGATGAATCTTTTCTGTCTGTACTGTGAGCACAGAATAGGATACTTAGTATGGAGACAGCACGCCACTCGGCCCGCTTTGCCCTCAGCACTTTTCATTTCCTATTGTACTCCACTGTTTGTTGTTACATTCACAGTAACACTTAGCTGCTGTGGAATTCCTGTCAGGGTGATAAATGTTGGCTGCATGCTCATCTCAAGCTTTTTCAAGAGGTTTGTTAAGTGCTCATACACAGGCACAATTCACAAGCGCACTCTGAAAACGCCAACACTCATGTATAGGTTTCCTGTGTGAAAATAGGATTTGCTGTGTGGGAATAAGATTTCAGAGTGTAGGCTTGCAAAGAAGCGAGAGGGCAACTCAATAGCAATACAACAGTAGGTAGATAAAGAATTGAATTAGTAGCACAAAGATGGCATTGTACTGTACATGATAGTGTAATATCTGGTCTGCTCATTCTAATATTGTCGGAATATTGATTTATTTTTCTTTTATTTCAATCAGGGTTTGCAAGGACCAAGGGTGAGTAATTATTCAACTGTTATAGCTTAACCATTGTTCTCTGCTCCGGCCTGTGGTCTACTCATGCATGATAAGAATTAATGAATTAACTTCTGCATCATCTTTTGTAAAGTCCAAGTTAGAAATAAGGTGAAGCCTAATGTGGTCATGTGATTTTTTTTCAGGGATCTCCTGGTCCTCGTGGACCACCAGGACTACCAGTAAGTTCCTCTTTTTTTTTTTCTTTTTTTTTAAGATTAAAAACAATGAATTTAGATACATGAAATGAAAAAAATGTGATTGAGTGTTTTGCTTTTAACAAGTAAAAGAAATCTCCAATGAAAGTTTTTCTTTGTGAAAAGTCGCTCTTTGAGCGTCTGAAGCTGAATTAGCTGCTTTCCAGATCAAGGACAGTATATTACAGAGGGAGAGAGACTGGAAAGTAATTGATTTTCTGTCTTTAATAGTGCAGACAGACAAGTTTTTCGACTCTGCGTCTTCATAAGCGTCAAAATGTACAAATGTAAAGGACAATATGTAGACAGTAGTGTTAAGTAACTGTATTTAGGCGCAGGTCAGATCGTTCCACTAGATCCTGCCACTAAACCAAGAAAAGAATATCTTGGATTAAATGGGTCTTGTGAACTGTGAACACTAGTGATGCCTAGTCTCTTTTATTGGATCTGATGACACCTGTAATGGGAACATAACTGTTTTTCATAATTCATATCCCACAGTTCAATTTAAAATGAAACATGCAAAATGAGCTGTGGCTGTAGCAGTCTGCTAGAAAATCATTTGAAGAGGAAAAACTCAAATGTACGCCTGCACTCTGGTTAGACTGTGAGCACATCAAGTGTGTTATTTATAAGAAAATCTAACTAGTTATAGACCTGCTTATTTTCCACTGTGATCTAATTCAAACAGCTGTTTGCCATCGGCTCCATTTCACTGCGTCTGAAATGCTTTATTTCCTTTTCGTTTTATGCCTCATTTCCTGTGCATTCATAATAATTTTGTTGCATATATGAATAATCTACCACTGACAGTGTAGATCAGGATTTGTAGAATTACTCCATGAACACAAATACATCAAGTTGCCGTTGATACAAAAATGCCTATTATAATACTGGTTTCTCCCGTTTGTCTCTAGGGTCGTCACAGTTCTGCCCTTTCACTTGTAAGTATGTTTCTCTCTATTGTTAGTTGTGGGTGTTTTGGGGAATGAAGACATGTTGTAGTACAAACAGAGCAGTACAAATGATCACGGTTGTGGTTAACTCATTGTCTCACTGTCTTCTTTGTTAGAGAAATGAGGCTCTTGGCGCTGCCTTTCAAGTCATCATTGATTCCCATGCTGCACTGAGGCAAGAGGTCAGTTTGGAGGGAAGCAAAGCTCATTGCAAAGAGTCACTGTTGATTCTTGGTTGGTTCTGTGGTGTGTCAGAGAATGTTTGTGCCATTACAGATTCATGAAATATTAGAGTGAGTTGGTAAAACCATTTTTTTTTTGTAGAACAGGATAATAGTATGATAAATCATGACTTTTTTTTTTTTTTAATTATGTCCAAAGCAGAATTATCAGAGCATGGACCTGCCCATGTTAGACCAGGGCACAGAGATTTTCAAGACCCTGCAGCATCTCAGCACTCTGATCCAGAGTTTAAAGAACCCTCTGGGAACCCGTGACAATCCTGCCAGAATCTGCCGAGACCTTTACAACTGTGAACACAGGATGTACGATGGTGAGGAGACGTTTAAACTGTTCCATCGTTTCTCTGCACAATTTCACAGTGTTTTGATTGATAAGTGCCGTTCCCTCCTCTGCTGCTCCTCTTTGAAAGGCACTTACTGGATCGACCCGAACCTCGGCTGTGCCACCGACACTATTGAGGTGACATGTAACTTCACTGCTGGAGGACAAACGTGCCTGAAACCTATCACGGTGTCCAAGGTGAGGATCGCTTCTATATTTAGTCATTTGCTTCAGTGAGACATACGCCCTATAGAATTTAAACACACATCACTGAGATAGAGACAAGATCACTTCCGGAGAACACTGTGCAGACAGTGGATGAATATCAAATCGATGAATGCTTGTGTCCTTGTGGAGAATGTTTTCTTCATGTTGTCTTAAGACAGAATTTCTCAAGAAGTAGAGAGGTTTAGAGTTTAAGATGAGCTGTTTGTGTGTGTGTGTGTGTGTGTGTGTGTGTGTGTGTGTATGCCATTCATGTGATAAATAAAGGAGCACAGCTGTTCATCTTCTGCCTCTGTACAATAAACACTAGCACTATTTGGATGGATAATTCATGCAGTGAATCTTAAGCCGTCCCATTTACTCTTTAGACTTGGCCAAGTCACCATCAAAGGCACACTCAGCTGGCAAATGAAGCTCAAGAATCTTAAAATGTCCTTCATCCTTTCATTCCTTTGTTTTGGATTTATATTTCAACCCTACAATGCAGCAATACATCACAGCCAGACTCAATTCCTGGATTAACTGTAAATAAAATAATGGGGACAGGCAATCATACTTAAAGGCACAATCTGTGAACCAGATGTAACTCGGTCTAATTTATATCAGAATTGCAGCCTGTTATCAATTCCCAAATTGATTGTGCTTAAGTTCTTCTATTACAGAGACCCGCACAGTAAGTCCAGTACATCAGGCATGTTTGTGAACAATCTGTCATTAAAATGAGACTATTTTCTATGTTAGGATTATTTGAGAAACACATTTTTTAGTCTACACAAATGTATCTAATCTTATGTATCTAAAGTAAGCTCTACATGGAGTCATATTGTGGTAGTCATTTTGTAACAAACTGGTGAAATAGGAACCAAGTAGACTTAAGTATCTTGGTCAGTGTTACATCTTCCAGATTTTGATCTTAAATAATAAACCTCACATTCATGCTACAAATATGTCGAAATTAAAAGTAACAAAAATCCACTTGCCTTCCAGTTGGAGACAGGAGTGGGTCGTATCCAGATGAACTTCATCCACCTTTTGAGCACTGAGGCCGTGCAGCACATCACCATTCACTGTCTCAACACACCTGTGTGGGCAGCAGGACCCTCCCTGCAGCCTTCACCCAGCGCTGTGAGCTTCAAGGCCTGGAACGGCGAGATGATCCGAGCAGGAGACCTCCTGGAGCCGATCATACACAGGGATGACTGCTGGGTATGCACGGCTACTATTATGACATAAACAATAATGCACTGATTAAATAAGAGTTTGCTGGTAGACTGATTTTGGAGTGATCCTGGTTAGCTGCTACATTTTTTTCTGCTTCCAGTCTTTATGCAAAGATAAGCTAATTGCCTCCTAGTCCTAGCTCCACATAGCCCAAAACAAAACATGTTTCCTCACTTACCTGTTGTGGTGGCTAGCCATGCAGATAGTTCAGGTTTGATTTGTACAGATTCTGCCCCCAACCAAATACGGTGGAGGTGAGTGGAATTTTGTTTGAGGTTGTCAGAGCAGTAAAAATTCAGCAGCATTAGCCATCAGCCACAGACCTCATTGCTAATGGTTTTTTTGAGGGACTATTTTTTTTGTTGAAAATTTTTCCCACTGAAGTCTTTGGATTATCAAGAATAACTGGGGCATCATTTGTGGAATGGCAAGTTGCTGTTAAATTAAGTGTAAATTTTCAATGCTTTGTGCAGCACAAATAAAATTCCATTCACCTCTATTACACTGGGGTGGCGGCAGAAAAACTGCCCCAAAGATCAGAACTATCTGTACAGATAGATACCACTTGAGCAAAGTGAGAGATCTGACTCTTTGACATTTTGTCTTCCTCATCATCACATCATGTGGCATAATGCACCCTTCACTTTCAGATCAAAGATGGCCGATGGCATCAGACCCACTTCATCTTCCAGTCCCAGGACCCAAACTTACTCCCCATAGTGGATGTATACAACCTACCAACAACAGCACCTGGCGCACGCTATCACCTCGAGGTGGGACCCGTGTGCTTCTTATAGGGCCCTGTGGAGGGGGCCAGGAATACTCCTTAAAGGAGTGACTGCATTGGGGGAAGGTGGATGGGGGAGACTGGTCCTTCAGACCCCCCCAATTTTCTCTCTACAAAATATGCTTGGACTGCAGAAACCGGAGGGGGCACCAGAGAAAGACGGCCCATTGGAAATGCAGAGATAAGACTTCTGGCACTAATCAGCCTATGGAAAACAATAATAAGCTCCTTTTTCAGAGACTTGTTTGTGTGATACAAGATCTGAACGCCCCTTTTGGAAGTAATATCAACGTCTCATTTCTGTCATCTCTCGGACCATGTTGTATCATATTTTCTTCACGGTCTGATACCCGATTTTGCAAGAACCTAAAAAGTTTTTCAAGAGATCTGTACAGAAATATGGAACAGTTACACCTGCAAATGCAATAATTCCTATTTTAATGTTAAAGTATTATTTATACATGTATATGTACTGTATATTGTAATATAAAGTGCAATAGTTATTGTTCCACAGCCTTTAGGCATATACAGTATCAACATCATATCACTCATTCAGGTATACAGTGTGCCTCAGACACACAGGCATGCTGCCGCCAGGTAAGTCTTCTTGAGCCTCTACTAACTGTCCAGTGCTGAGGGACCCCACATTTCTACAGATATCTTCACACAAACAACTGCTGTGTGGTACTTTCCATGTTAAGGTGGAGCCAAGGTTTCCATAGTGTGAACCGAGAAAAAAAGTGTGTCCAGATGCTACCTCGTACTGCACCTCTCATCTCACAGCAAACAATTCGTTACCTGATCTAATCTGGGATGACACAGAGGTGACACCTGGTGCTGCAACAGTTGACACAACAGTTGATAAACTCTCATCAGCACTCGGCAAAGCGACGTCTGTGCTTTACGAAAAAAGGGAAGATTGTAAACACGCAGGCCAAATTCATTAAATTATATTTTCAAGGTAGTATTTTAACATTTTCAATATCCTTTGTACGAGTCTGACACTATAAGTTAAGTTTTTTATTTGTTAAAATGTATAATTATGCAACTTTTATTATCAACGGTGGATTCTATTTAAATATTATTTAAATTCTGATTAGCTTTCCAGTTCAAAACCAGGCATCAAAGTCATGTTTAAGCACATTTTTGGTCATTTGGAGCTTTAACGAATCTACAGTCTGTATGAGGTTTTATAATTAAACTGTCCTGGACAATCAGGACATTACCAGCCTTTTTATTTACTGTTTATGCATTTGTCACTAAATTGTGCAGCGATGATGGTTGGTCCCACCAATCTATAAACTCAGAGGATTTCTTACAATACAGAACATTAAACTACCACAGTACATGAGCTTGCAGTGTTTGGTCTGTACAGACATTTTATGCTGTGTGAATGAAGTCTAATGACTTAACAGGTAATTCAATAAATGTGTGAAACCTTTGTTGATAAGCAGCTTTCAATTTGTTTTGTTTATTCATCAAAGAAAACTTCATAGCAAAGCGAGATAATAAAATGCATTTAAACTGCCTACTTGTGACAGTGCCATTTTAGCTTCCTTCTCTTCATTTCACACCTGGAAACCGTCAAGTCCTGACAGTTACTACCATTGTAAACATGGAGAAAAATTGTGTCCTTGAAGTAATGTTTTCTTTTTTCTACAAAACTTTTCTCCTCTGTCTAAGTTTTGTGGAAATAGGGCGATTCAGTCGACTGCACAAAAACACGGACAGACTTTATAGAGTTTGAAAGCACTATATTAACAGACTGCTGTATATTAAAATACACGGTCTTATCTTGGGCACATGGCATGGCGACCTCCATCAATAGGTAGGTTGACTCCAGTAATGAAGCTGGCAGCGTCGGACGCCAGGAAGGCGATGCTGTGCGCCACTTCCTCCACCTCACCTGGTCGACCGAGGGCGTGGGTCGTCTTACACTTTGCAAGGAACTGGTGGTGAAAAAGACGGCACAAGGATGGGGGATACATATAATTTGTTTTTATCATTTTCTGCAGATAAAAGTTTAATTCTTTGGTATGTTCAGATTTATTTGCTCGCAACATAACATCAGGGTTAAGTTTGGGATGACTTCACAGTATAATTAGGACAGTATAATTAGGTTGAATGGGCAAGATGCAGTAATGTCATGTCATGATGTGTTACCTGAGCGTACTGCTCCTCATCCAGTCCTGCTCTCTTGTGGACATCTGTGATGATCACACCCGGGCTGAGGAGATAAAAGCACAAATGTACAATCCAGTAAAACAGAAATGCTAAATTTTAAATTCAATTTCAGACAATCTGCATAACAAATGGCATGTGAACTAAAATGAGAATAGGCAAGAATCTGAAAGTGAACTTAAAACGATCATTGCACGTACCAGACTGAGTTCACTCTGACTTGCTTTTCTGCCAGCTCTGAAATAAAAAGCAGTCACGTGGTCACCTGTGCTCATGTGTCACTGTGAACTTTTATAATGCCGAACAAACAAGGCTAAAATGGCCCAACTCACCAAGTGCTACACAGCGTGTGAACTGGTCAATGGCAGACTTGGACATGCAATAGGCCAGCACACCGGGGAACTACAGAGAGGAAAATCACAGTTCTCAAAGATGCTTCATGATAAATAAAGATGTGGACGGTCCTGTTGGAAACTGTCGTCCAGTTGCATAAAACTTACTGATCTCTGTCCATTGACACTGGACACATTGACGACACAGCCTTTGGTCTTGATCAAGTGGGGCACACAAAGTTGAGTCAGATGGTACACAGATCTGGAATATGAAACAAAAGTTAAGGAACATACTTTCTAAAATGTACTACAGTAGTGCATAATTCAATACATCAGTTACCAATGATAAATGTTGCAAAAATAAGTACACCCTCCTGAAAGTTACAAAATAAAACTTAATAGGATGTTTTTTGGTGCTCGTTAAGGGCACCAGACTCACCAGGTGAGTCTGCTGAATGACCCCACTCAAACAGGTGTAATTGGTTGACAATTAAAGCGGCACCTAACCCACTGAATTGCTCTCAGACTTAATGCTGACAACAATGGCACCACATGAGAGAGAATTGTCTGGAGACTTGAGAAACAGAATTATTTCATTGCACAGAAAAGGGTTAGGGTACAAGAGGATTAGCAAATCATTGTTATTAAGTCAGAACACAGTTGCAAAAGTGATACAGAAATTCAAAAAGGACGGACTTCAAAAAGGATGGAAACGTCCTGGCTGTCATTGTAAGCTTTCACCTCAGGATGAGCGAGTTTTGTTGAGAAAAGTGCAAGAGAATCGGCAAGCAAGTGCCTCAGACCTGGCAAAAGCTATGGTAAGCCAAATGACTGTGAACGTTACTTTCATCTCACACAGTAAGACGCACCCCACACAAAAGTGCCAGACCGTCATGCACGCAGGAAGCCACTGCTGAAGCCAAAGTACAAGAAAGCCCGTTTAGCCTTTGCCAAGGCCCATACTGACAAAGGTGGAGACTTTTGGGAATCTATACTCTGGTCTGATGAGACCCAAGTCAATCTTTTGGGATGTGATGGCATCCGAAATGTAGGGCCTCGCAAAAGGGGAGGAGTACAGAGAGAAGTGCATGGTTCCAACAGTGAAGTATGGCAGTGGTAAAGTTCTTTATATGGGGGATGTGTGAGTGCTGAAGGTGCTGGGGAGTTGTACTTCATTAATGGCATCATGAATTCACAGATTTACTGCAAAATCCTGAAAGAGAAGATGCTACCCTCCCTCCACACTCTGGGTCGATGGGCACTTTTTCCAACATGACAATGACCCTAAACCTTCTTCCAAGGCCACTGATGCATTCTTGAGGAAGAACAAGGTGAAAGTGCTGCAGTGGCCAAATATGTCACCAGACCTCAACCCTACTGAACAACTGTGGGGAATTTTGAGGAGACAAGTGGAGCAGCAGTCCCCCCTCAAACATCAAGGCATCCTCCAGGAGTGGAACGCGATAGACAGGACAATATACTGTGAACTTGTACACTCGACACCAAGAAGCGTCGGTGCAGTTCTTACAAGTAAGGGAGGACATACTAAGCTCTAAAATAATACAAGGGTGTACTCATCTTTGCAACCCTAGATTTAAGCAAAGCTGCCTTATTTATTTATTTATTTATTTATTAGAAATTGATGACATATCTTTCTATGTTTTTTTTATATATATATATAAATAAATATGTTTTTGTCACCTTCTTATCAATTGGAATGTTGATCATTTAGGAAAAAAAATGCCATTATGTTCAGAGGGGGTGTACTCATTTATGCTGTGTACTATATATCTCTTGAGACTGTAAGCGACAATTACATCCTAAGATCTGTGATGGAGCTTCACAAGTGGGATAGCAGCAATATCACAACTACACCCACATTGATACTGTTCTGTTTAGATCATGTAGCTGGTGAATGGTGGCACTGTTCTGACGTTCCTGAGGATTTATGACAGCTTGGCCTGATGTGCTCTATAGAAGATCTGCGGGTGGGCTCAACATGCTTTTTTTACTCCTAAACTGGAATTAGCTTTGCATGCTCTGCTTTGTTTACAGCACAACTGAATATAACATGGAGATAAATGCAATTATATCTACTAAAAACTTCCACTTCCACTTCAAAAGGAAAGTTGTCATATCTAGATTCAGTCAACAATATACACAAATACTGTGGATACAAAACAGCAAACGTTGCTTAATTATCATCCGACACAACCCTGCCACTGTACACTCAGCACTGATGTGTCTCCATGATGTTATGATGTCCTACCTCACATTGATATTCATGACCTTGTCATACTGGGCTAGGTTTGTCGTCTCGATGCTGCCCATGGCCAGGATACCCGCGCTGTTAACCAGGACGTCCAGCCGGCCGAAGTGAGCGATGGTCTGCTCCACTGACTTCTTTACCGTCTCCTCATCAGTCAGGTCTCCGGGAACAAGCAAAGGCTGCACAGTAAATGCACACCCACACATCTTTTTAATATATATGTCAGCATCAAAATGCCATTTTATATCATCTATATGTATTCATTTATTTTCCATCCATGCCAATTTGACAATAAACCAATTTACTTGAGTCTTAGCCTATGGTTCACTGTTCACAAATACGGGTTTAAAATATGCTTTGTACTCATCCCACAATGCATTGGGGCTCGTTGATGTTGATTGCAGGCCTATTTATGCCACATTTTGACCTATATCCCCAGTTTATCATCTTAATATATCAGGTTTTGGTGATTTAAAAGTCTCCAACTGGAGGCTGGTGTCACGACAAACTGTATTGTTTGTATATTGAGACTTCTCCTGACTCCTCCACCAAGAACTACAGTCAACGAAGCCTTGGCACAGTGTCAACGTGGATGAACACAAGTTAAGCGTTAACGTTGCACGAGTCAGTACCTCGGCAGCTCCACAGTCGGTGCATTGTTTGGCTATTTTACTGAGGTTTTCCACGTCGCGGCCGTTGAGAGCCAGCAGAGCTCCGAGTTTGGCGAAGAGGACGCTCGTACCTGCCCCAATGCCTGAGCTGGCTCCCGTTATCAGGGTCACTTTCCCCTTCAGAGAGTGCACCTAAAATACATATAGAAACGGCAAATGTCTATCAGGTGTCTACACAGTAGCTCACCATGAATTAATGAGCTGTAATTCAGTTCATACTCGAAGTAATGATGAAATAAATACACGGAAACAACGGTAAACCACATGCAAGACTGTAAACTCACTTTATATGCATCGTCTGAGGCCATTTCTGAGGGGTTTGTATGCAGTTTGCATGAACTTGCTTGTGCCAGTGACACTTTGCTTCGTCCACTACTGATGACGTAATTTGACGAGTCAGGTAATCACTTTATAGTTTATATAACTACAATTCCTGTATTAGACACTCCATGACCGCGTCTTCCAACCTTTTCTGTTGCATTTTTTTTTGTGCAAGTACTTAATGTTTTGAATCATACTAAACATGAATGTTAGTTACAAAAGCTTTATTTATTATAAAACATTGGCAATTTATTTACAGTCTATTAAGAAAAAAACATCCAGAAATGTCTTTTCTTTTTATGGTGTCAATTGTGAAAACATGAAAAGGAATGAGTTAAGAATAAGTTGCACTTCTTCATTACAAAGACTGTGACATATCAACATGCTTTTAAAGGAGAAAAACCATTTCTTAAAATTAAGTCAACACAGATGTTGCGACAAACTGTTGAAATCAGACCACTGGCTTTTGCATATAACTGTGAAATCAGTGACTAAGGTGTTGGGTTATCAAAACAATAACAACCTAAAATGACATTTAAACTCTAGGTCATATCTATCGGAAAAGTGTGGTGTAAAAACTTAATCTTGTTTATTCAACTTAGCATTTCGCAGGGTCTGTCAGTGTCCTGTCAATTGTTGATGTCTGGGGGCTTTCTCATCAATTTGCTTATTTAACTTTGGCAAGGTACCATACATTGTATCACTTTGCTTGTTGGAAAAAAAAAAAAAATCAGAGTAATGGCTATGTTAAAGGCCTTGAGGTCCAAGTCGGCTATCCAGCAAAAGGGTTAGCATGAATGGTGACATCCTTTATCCGGGTTTCAGTCAGCGGTCGAAACGTCTTTTCATTGACAGGCAGTTTCTCTAGTTCATCCAGTGTTTCCAGGCCATCAATAATCCTACATGTTGAGGAGAGTGAGATGTGAGCTGACAATCTGAAATGAACATCGGTAATTCAGATGCATATACAAAAAGGCCTGTGGATTCCCTTCAGTTATATATGATGTATTATGTAAATCAATTTTTTATCAGTTAATAACTATTATGCCAGAATCCAAACTATTTTCACTGCATCACTCTATTTTACATCCCTACCACTGTTTTGATCTCAAATAACCATACAGTCACTTATTGGTATACAGGTTACGTACTTTCCAAATGCTGTGTACTTCATGTCCAGATGAGGCTGTTTGGCATATGTGAAGAAAAACTGGGAGCCATTCGTGTTAGGGCCATTATTAGCCATTGAGACCACTCCCCTCACATTGTGCTGAAATCAGACAAAAGACCAACACAAAAGTTTCAATATTAAACTATTGTCCCCTGAATGAAAACTATTTAGGTAAAAACCAGCCAGAGGCGATACTCACTTTTAAGTGCTCACTGAACTCATCTTCAAATTTGCGGCCCCATATGCTTGTTCCTCCTTTGCCTGTGCCTGCAGAGTTGAATTGTAATACAGTAAATCAAAACAGTGAGAATGTGAATTCTGACATTTCAGGTATTGATCAGACACAAGAGCAGTCCTTTACCCGTAGGATCTCCAGTTTGAACCATGAAGCCTTTAATATTTCTGTGGAAGTTGCAACCATTGTAGAACCCACTGGCACACAAAGCAAGGAAGTTCTGTAAAACATAAACACAAGGGACATACCATGATGTACTATGACTTCATCAAGGAAAATACACCAGAATTTGTTTAGACCTTTTAAAATTACAGGGCCACTCTTAAAACACGGTTTTTATTAATTAAATTAAAATTACATTAGTTAAAATATAATATTGGGTCTGCATGCATGCACTGGTGAATTATATCACAAGGCACCTTAACCAGAGTGCAATAATTTAAAGACATTAACTCCTGAGTTCTGAGACTCTCCCAAACAGCACCAAACTATTAGTAGTTCAAACCCAGAAGGATGTGGATGTTGCGAGGGTGATATGGAGGCTTCTTGCATTTAAATACAAACTTCAATGAATTTGCAAACAATTGAACGTTTTTCTGTACTGAAAAACAGTCGACAGTAATGTGAAGTGTAGCCATGTGGTTTACATTAAATGAAACATGTAACTCACCTCGCATGTTCTCGGTGTGCGCTCACAGAACAATTCAATTTTAATTTCTCCTAGATCTGTGTGAAGGGTAACAGCCTGGAAAATTTACAAGAGGGGAAAAAAACAGCATGAAATCCTTAAAACGTTCACTTTTAACAGGCAAAGTAATTCATAGCCATTCAATAATGTTGGCTGTCTAGCTTAGCCTGTTGCCCAGATAGCAAACATAAACAACTTATGACGCTAAATTAGCATAGTTAGCTAACCGGCTCCTAGCTGGATTAACTGTATTAAACCACAATAATAGTTAATAACAAATCGAACTTTTTATTTAATTGTGTATTAACAACAATCTTCTGAAAACTTCTACAATGAAATTTACCATTTCAAACCCTGCGTCTGCGAACAAGTGTGTCGGAGAAATATGTCCGTCTGTGGCCAGTTACCCGGCGTTGAATGGTTCCGCAAGGAATTTTCCGTCATTTCGAATGGGCACAAAGCGGTAAAATAAAACCGATTTTTATTTTCACATCTATCGTTATTGTGATGCGTAAATCTGTGAACTACTTACATATATCGTGGACCTGTGGCGTTAATGAATAGTTGCAGCTCAATGGAAACGGGCAGATATAGGGTTTGACTGAGCGACTGCATGGTGAGCCTCACAGTCTTTGTAGTGAACATACAGTACATGGGTGAGGTGTTAGGATAAACCTTAAACCTTAAAAATTAGATTCTGAGCTTCCTTTTTGAACTTTTAATGTACAAATTCGTTTTTCAAAACCTTCCATGATAGAATATTAGCAGATTTGCTTTAGGTTAATTTGATTATTATAAGCACAAAACTTATAATGCAGGTCTTACAACTGGATTTAGGGGCCGACTTAAAGATAGGGCCTCAACATTAGGTGGTAAAGGATGATACACCATAAGGCCCTTATCACATCAGCCTTAATGGTGCATATTCCCAAATAAACTGTCAAGACATAACACAATTTTGTATTTATAAAGTGTTCATCGAATGGCATGTCCCCTGTACGATGCTCCCCAGCAAAACGACTGAGCACTTACAAGTTACTTCTTAAAACCTTTTGAATTAACATAATGACTATCTCAATGATCAGTATCTTGCATGGTACCGGGGCAGATGATAATTTAAGAGAACTCTTTCACAACATCCAAGCAGAAGCTGAACAGAAACCAATACTAATTTGGTCAACAAACTTTATTTCATTTTACCCTAATGGATGGTGTACAAGAGAGGATGAGACATGTTCAAACAGAATAGTCACTTATTGCCATATCATTCATATCAATACTGTTGCATTGATGAGTTCCTTTTTTAATGAAAAACTTTTGGCAAAGAAAAAAAAGAAAATACCACACAAAACCAAATTTGAACATCACCTATGATGACTGGAACTGGGTTAGGGAACATTGAAAATGATTTTGTACCCAAAAATAATCATTTTAAGAGGACACCGAGGGGTGACAGTCCCACTATGCAAACCTACATACACACACTCATACACACCTCATCTGTGCTAATCACAATGACAATTAAACAATTCTGACATGACACAACTCAATTAATACATGGTCATTGACGAAAACACAGAATCAAGGTTAAACCAAGTGGTTTCTTTAAAATCACAAACACATTTTGTTTTAAACCAGCAGTCAATATTAAATACACCAAACTAGAAAAGAATTTATAGAAATGCATATAAAAATGTTATCACAACTGTTTAAATAAATAAAAATACCAGGTGTAATAAAAAAATAGGCAATCAACTCAAAAAAGAATGTGAGTGCTAGCTGGTTTCCTGAGAAATTTAGTTATACTATCATAATACTAATAGCTGTCAAAATGAAAATAAAATAAAATGAGTCAAATTGATTTTAAAAAAAAAAGAAAAAAAAAAAAAGGAAGATACAGAAAACAAAAAGATTAACCATGACTGTGAGACAAAAATCTAATCTATTTACTGATACCACTTTATCAGCAATCTACACAAAGTAGTTTTAAATGTACTGACCATTTACTTGCAGTGCTCACTATAGGACTTTAAATTTGACATTTGTGATGTCAGCTTTTAATTACGATGGTTGATTGTCTTAATCTGTGGTGTATTGCTGAGGCATTCTGGATATCATTTAATGCTCCAGTTGGGACTTAAAGGTAAGGATGAGGAGAATTTGTTTTTTCTATGTGTAGTTCCTTAAATACTTAAAATAGTAATCAAATACCATTTTAATCTCATGGCTGGCAGTCATTCACTTGAACCTTTCCTATACCAGAAAACATGCATTGTAGACACTGAAGTTGTATACCATTACTTGCATTTACCTAAATGTAACTTGTGGGAGAGGTGCCGTAGTGCAAAAGCATTCTCTAGAATCAAAAATCTCCTCTAATCTACTTAACTTGAAATTCTCACCATCACGTTGGTAAAATGTATGTGACAAAAAGAATGCCCATGCACATTAGAAAACTACATCACTACTAACTTTTACATAGTTTAAATAAAGGCAATATTGCACAATATAGGATAGTTAACCATGTTCTTGAAATAAATGTACACAACTATTCCTATGCTTTTCAACCCAGTTATTGTACTATATATTGCTACGGTCCAACTTTTCTTGCAGTTAGGTTTATTAAAACATAAACTGATATTTTATCTCAGAGTAAACACAGGAACCCCTGTTGTGTGTTGTGCTGTGTCAGAGCTGTGCATTGATCTTAAATTCCACATTTTTAGCATCATGCTGTTTACTGTGGCAAAATGCAAGTGCAGAAAAGACTCTCTAAGGCAAAAAAGTATTCAACTTTTCTCTACAAATGATCACTTTGAAGCCAGAGAAATAAACGATAACAATTGGATGACCTGACCTGAAAAATATGGAAGCCCATTCATGACAAGACCCAACAAAAAAAGAAGAAATAAATAAAACTTCTCAAAATATCTCCTACAACTATGAGAAATGTATCCAAAACTGTGACAAAATATGAGAAATTGTGAGAAACTAAGACAAAACCTATGAACCCAGGACCTGCTTGCTGTAAGGTGGCAAGTCAAAAGTTTTATCTATCTCACTGATCTAATTCAGTAAGTCAAAATGAAAAGATATTACTTTGTAATCTTTGAGAATCATTTTTAGCATTGTGTCTGTTTTTATTTCCCTGGCAGGGATAGGTTAACATATGAGATGAGTGTATCTGGCACAAAAACAAACACACAAAAAAAACAATCCATCACACAATAAAAAACAATCCACTTTCATTCCCAAAATGAGCTTGTCACTTCAGTAATTAATCTTTAAACCCAAGTGCAAAATTTCTAGATCACTTTTACAAAATAACAATGATAGAAGTTTTACTGGATAATTTCAATCATAATGTTCATTTCCGTCAGACTTTTACTTTCTGTGGTAGCTGTCAGCAGTGCACAACAAAACTGGTTTAGAAAGTTAAAGCTGCACTAGGGGAGACCCTTTATGTAAAAATAAAATTAGCACAGCCAATGACAAGGTGAGGCTATAACAGAAAAGAATAATTAATCCCATTTGAGACACTATATGAATATTTGCCCAAATTGATTATAGGTTTCAAGTATCATCACTTACTGAGCGTCCACAGGAAGTGATGAAACAAAGCAATTAAAGCAAAATATAAACCAGCAAAACTGTCCATTACCATCTTGACCTGGATAGCTTAGTGCTTTAAAGACAATTATCTGCATTAAAACATAGTCAAGAGTATGATCATTTGTTTTGAAGATGCTACAACGAAAATAACAGAAATAGGACATAATACAAAATGAGTAAATTAAGGTTAAGGCAACTGACCTGAAATCCATGGTTCTTTTCAAAAATGTCTCCTAATCTTTCTTGCCACTGAAATGACTTAATTTAATTTCTTCTTTTGATTAAGTGGAACGTGGCTTGTTTATTAAAAGCTTTGAGCTTTTTGAAGCAAAAGGCTAAAATTTTAGATTTAATGATGTTTCATTAGTGGCCATTTTGGACCTTATTGCATTGTTCTTTCAAATTTTTTTATATATATATAAAAACTGATTAAATTGCTAAATTATTCTTCAATTCACCTTAATGAATTATGTATGCATTATGTAGCAATTAAGATAGTTCACATCAAAGGTGGCTGTAAACTTGTGCACAGCTGAACATCTACACTGAACATTGCACAATATTTGAGTAATGCAGTTCAGTTATATTAAAATAACAGAATAACTTCCCTATTAAGTAGAAACATCATATTTCAATGTTATGATAAACTGAAAAGAACACAAGGCCAGGCGCCCAGACACAGATTTGAGGGCATGTCTGGTCTTTAAGTTGTTTGCAGACAGTAACACTCAACTATCAGGACATACAGGTAGACCAGTGGTTGCATCCACCATAATCAAGGGTAATTAATCAATCTAGTGTTTCAGGTAAGCATCTGTGTTAGTGTCAGACATATTGTCAACATTTGAAACGCATTTCAACATCACTGTTATCCTCAGACTTCACTTGAATTCTTATGAAGCAGACAAGACTCATCTCATTCAAAACCTTTTCAGCATTTTCCCCATATTTGTTCATTTTGTTTTGTGCAATTCATTGCAAACAAATACTGTGAATGCAGCATGTCTATGAAAACGATTTGCTCAATTCCCACTGCTTAGTATACTGACAGTAAGGGTTGGGTATCCGCTTCCTGATAAGATGCCTCAATAATGTAACTGTGTGGGAGTTGTTGCTTTGTTATGCTAGTCCACTGGGTAGCATTCAGTACAGTAACTGCCCTTCCTCAAACACAGCACACACCTTTCCTCAGAAAGAGACCATCAATCCCTTCACCCTGCCATAGGGATGTCTCGATACCAGAAATTTGGAAGTCTGTACCAATACCAATGAAATTCCACAAAAGTCGATACCACAGCAAAAAAACAGAAAAAACGGGGGCTGCTCAGTTTGCTAACACACATGTACACACCTCCATAGAGTCAAAGTGCAAGCAGCAGTTTTGTCTAAAAGTCAGAGTTGTATTTGAACAGTAATGACAGTAGCACACTAATATTGTGAGCACCTAGCTCACCTTATGAGCTGTCGCTATGTTAGCCTTAACAAGCTAACGTTAGCCTTTGTGAACGTTGTGTGTAGTGTTGTTAAAACAGATGCTGCTGCCATTCCATGCGTTGTTTTTATTGTTTACCCTGCCCTCCTCTTCGAGTTTGACAGTCTTGCACTCTCGTAGGGTTATACTACCCTTGTCGGTCCCAGAAGAATCGCATCTCCAAGGCATGTGACATCAGAATTTTGGCATCAACAGCCCTCGTGACATCCCTACCCTGCAAATGTAATGCTCCGGCCAGCCAAAGACAACTGGTTCTCCTTCTGTACAGCACTTGCATTTCTTACACAGTGTCCTCAATGACCCTTTCCTTCTAACCTTATACAACACCTTCTCAGACACGAGGATCTCAGAATCTACAACCTGTCTTGACATGATTCATCATTAGTTCTCCCTGATTTTGGATTTCGTGTCATACTCTCATGATTTTCTTAACATTTTCAAACAAAGCATATATGAAGGTATTTGAAGGCCATTGTCATCCCTCTGAAACAGACACAGTTCAAATTTGTGTCAGGTCAGTTCTGAACAAAAGGTAAAGAGCTAAAAGCCTTCATGGCATTGGTATTGGTATTTGGTGACATAATCAGATGACTTGTAAAACATTTTAAGTGAACATCAGCTTAAATCTTTTCCAAACAAAATAAAAGACAGACAAAAGAGTTTCGGCCTCTCGACCTTCCAGATTTCATGATTTTTTTCCTTTGCATGTTATGATGCAACTGTGAGCAGTTTGACTATTATCTATACTCAGCAATCAGGAGAGAAAGGTCTTAGAGACCACCTTGCTACATCGTGTGTAAACACACACTTCCAATCACAATGGCAGTGCTTAATTATTGCTAAAAAGCATCATTACTGTGTTACAGTGGAAAGACCTAAAGAAGACTGTTCATGGGGGAATAAACAAAATTAACCGGGCAGTTAGCTATGAGAACAACCAGAAGCTACCAGAATTAGTATTTGGGTTCTGTCAAACTGGCACTGGTTCTTGATACCCAACCTTACTGGCAGTACACTGCAGCAGGTCTACTGCCTGCTTCAGCAAGTATGGGCATTCCTCCTGTGTCAGGGCACAGTTTGTGAGTATCTGTTTTCACTCACATTGACAAACCTGTTTAAGCTTGTTCTTTGTCAACTTTCCACAACTGTTCCTTAACCTCTGTGGGCAGCGTGTTGAAGAGGTCCTCCTCCACCACGAGACCGGTTCTCTTTAGCTGCCGGCACTCGCTCAGCTCCACGGGCAGACATTCCAGACGGTTTCCTCTCAGCTCGAGCTGTGTCAACCCAGTTAGCTCTCCAAAGCGCGACGGCAAAGACTGCAGGCAATTGTTCCCCAAGTTCAAAGTGCGAAGCTTCTTGCACTGGAACAGCTCATTAGGCAGACTTTCAATCTTTATTTCAAGGCAGGTATTGTGTAGGGAGAGAAAAGGAGAGGGATTATAATTTATATAACTTTAAAATTTTCATTAGCAGACACGTTGCAAACAAACCACAATGGATAAAAACAATCAACAAAGATTGAAATGGTTATAAAACTGATATTACAGTACTCACCCTGTTGGCTGTCACTGCCAGGTACTGAAGATTCTGGAGGAAGCCAATATCTGTTGGGATATAGGTCAGGTTGTTATGGCTCAGGTCCAGGAAGCGCAGCTTGCGGCAATAAAACAACTGGCTGGGGATCTTCTCAATCTTGTTTCTGTTCAGGTACAGCTTCTCCAGGTTGGTCAGTGTGCCAATCTGAATGGGAATGTAGGCAATCTGGTTGTACCAGAGCTTAAGGCAGACCAGCCGATGAAGGTGCTGGAAGCTAATGATCTCCTCAATGGTCTTCAGGTTGTTGTCCTTCAGGTCAATCTCCTGCAAGTTGTGCAAACTGAAGATTGAGTGCGGTATTCGCTCTAGATCACAGCGAATGAGCTCCAGTTCCGTCAGGTTCACCATCTTCTTCAGGCTGTTGAGCACCATCAGCTTGGTGCCTTCATTATTGATGGAAAGCTTCTGGAGGTGCATGCCTACATCAGTCACCACCTGAGGTAGCTTGGTGAGATTGCTCTTCAGACGAAGAACTTTGAGCCTCTTGAGCTCTCGGAGCCCGTCGATGACGATGTAACGGTTGTTCTCAGCACTGAGATTCCCTGTCAGATGAAGCTCACTCAGATTCTTCAAACTGTAGATCCATAGGGGAATCTCTTTGATGTCGGTGAACTTGATGTGCAGAGACTTCAAGTTCTCACGCAAAAAAGCCAACGCCGGAGCTTCGATTTTAGCTGGTGTGTGATACAGCCACATCTCTCGCAGGTTGACCAGCTGGGCGATAATCGGTGGGATGGTGACATCTGAGATGAGCTCCAGTTTAAGCACCTCCAGCTCCATCAGGTCAAACACTGTGTCTGGAATGCCACTTAGCATGAAAAGGTGCAACTCCAACTTCTCCTGAGAGTTCTTAGTTATTCTCTGCCTGAGCTTATCCAGTGTCCACTCATTGTTGAGGTTCAGCTGCCTCAGCTTGTTCTCGCTCACTTCTGAGAGAAACACAGCAAAGCGTTTGGAGTACAGAGGGTCATACTGATCGATCATGTGCAACATGAATGCAAAGTCATTCTTCACATCAGGTATGTCACTGTAACTGCTCTCTTCCCGTATCGACTCAAAGGAGTATTTCTTTAAAGATCGCCGAAGCATCCAGCAAAGTGTGTACATGCAGATCAAACCATACACCACCACCAAGCTAATGTAAAAACAGGCTAAGATTTTAAAAAGTGTAGCCAACGGATGAGCACAGCGGTACACGCTGTAGCCCGTCAGACTCTCTATATTGACTGAACAATCAACACTGAATTTAATATCGTGCACATAATACCCTGTGTAGCAGATTATCAAAATAAACTTTATGACTTTGATAATAGTCTGACGGATGTACAGTCTGTACACAATGTCTCCTTCTTCAACATGTATACGGAATTTCTTCACCTTCTCAAACAGCGCTTTTGCCTGTTCACCCTCTTTTTTGTCCAAAACCCCAGTCTCTGTTCTATCTACAATGCCTTGCTCAAAGCGCGTCTTTGTCCTTTGGAGCATAGGAACACTTGCTTCAACATCCTCACTGATAACGGACTCCTTGTGGTCCATTGAACCGTTCATTTTCATTGGTTTTGGGTCACTCTCTTCGACCACGGTCTCTGACAGCGCCCTAGTTGTCCATGGAGAGTCGAAGCATTTCAGCAAGATGGATACAAAGTGCTCTAGTTTGGAACTAGTCCGTGGAAACTTAAACCAAAAGTTGCTGCAAGCTAGGAAAATAAGAGTATGAAGTAACACTAGGTAGGGGAAATACTTGGCAAACCAGTGCAATCTATTCTCATAGCACACAGCATCCACATAGTTGTACTGGTGACGGTCCAGATCATACTGAATCCCTTTGGGCTCCAAAAACAATGATGTGGAGAAGGTGGAATTGAAGTTCTTCTTGCAGGTCTCATTGACCACCCATTTACAGGGCAGGCAAATCATCTTGTCCTGGGTGACCTGTAGTGTCCCTCCAAACACAGAAATCATGAGCATAACAATGGAGATGTAGTCGGTGAACACATCCCACCATGGTTTCAGGATGCGGTATGCTGGCTGTGTGTCCACAAAGTATCGCAGCTCGGTGATGGGGATCATGGTTTATCTGTTTTTAAAAAAAAAAAAAAAAAAAAAAAAAAAAAAAAAGAGAGGATTTGAGGAAATAATCATAATGGAGTGGTGTGATATACAGTGTTGTAGAAATCAAAATGCTCCTTCCCATCAATGCCTGAACAGCCACAACACAACACCAAGCTGACAAATCAATACTACAATGATAACTAACAAGGTCATACATCAGATCATTCCAGACAGTTAGTCTGAAGGCTGCCAGGAGTAATGAAATAGAGATTCCTAATTGTTGTGACAAATAACTACTTGATTGACTTCACTGGGAGGGCTACCGTGTTACTGATTTACCCACTGCTAAACTGGCACAATTAATCTTGCTTTCAAAGGGGTGTCATACTGGACATAGCATTTCAAATGTTGTAACCAAGTGGCAAACCAGCCACTGATAATATAAAGTCAATATATCTGCATTTTAATTGAATACCTACTAGATTTAGCTATAAAATTAATGGGTTGTGCTCACGAAGACATGACACATGTACGCAGGCTGTAAACATAATAAATTGTTTACAGCCTGCGTACATGTGTCATGTCTTCTTGTCCGAGTGAATTAACAGCACAAGATTGGCTTGCTTCATGGAAAAATAGAATTTTTATAAATTTTGTATCAATGGAATAAAGTGCCTTGATTTGTCAGGTATTACCTGAATTAGCCCAAACCAAACTTTCCTGTGTGATTATTTAATTCATTAAGACTTTAATTTATTTTCCAGATGTTCCAGCATGATATTGTGAAATAAAATTCTATACACTGTGATTGAAGATTTCATCCATATCATCTGACCTTAATTAGGAGGAAATCGTACGTATCCACGTAACCTCAAATCTAAACCTGGCACACAGTAAGCAAGAAGATGTTATTACTCCACTATTGGTATGAAATATACTAAATTAAGAAAAAGCACACTCGAACAACATATTTTATGTGTAAGGACAGATAGAAATGCTGTTAATGCACATAGAAAAATGGTTCTACTTACAAATCCAAAATGTAAAATGAAATAACTCCATACATAACCAGTCAAGAGTGAGCCACAACTACTCTGTTACCGCTGCTGTACATTAGAGCCAGATAAAACCCTCCAAATCAACCTTTTAGCCTTGTGCGAGTGCGACACACCCAGCATGTAAGCTTAAAGTCACTCTTCTACAGATGATGTTCCGTTTTGGCTCGTTTAACCCAAACAACACGACCGCCAGAGGAGCCACCTTGCTCCCCTGCTCTCTATTCTTAGCCATTTCCGTTAATAATACCCAGAGTATTGTCTGTGGGGGCCTTGAGAAGCACCTCCCTCGACCTTCAGGAGGAGATCCTGTTTATCTTATAGGAGCTGCTGTCTCCAACCAGTGTCTCTCTGGAATAATCTACCGTCACCTTTTGCACCCCACCACCGCCCCCCAAACACACACCTACATATACACAAACAAGAATCAAGAGCTGGCATTCATCACAGCTTGTACTTTGTTAGGAAACTGTTAAAGCGAGGAGTTAAGACGCCTAGTTTGATCCTTGGCCAAATAAGAATACTTTTAGACTGGCCATGGTTCAAAGAAACTTTTGTACACAGAGCAGCTACTCTAATCATGGACTGTACATAGATTCCAATGCAAAGTCCTGGATTAGGTAGATTTTGTAGCATACTCAATACATTACTCACCAGTTTAGAGGTGTTATCTGTGTTCCAGTGCCCGATGATGTCCCTGGTGGACCAGCCACTCTTTGTGTATCCAAAACTCTTCATGGACCATTGCCCGACTCATCGCCATGGGGCTCAATAGAAGATCTGAAAAAATACATTGAGAGATGGAAATGTGGTTCTAGCTCTTTTCTAAGAGCTAGAACCACAGTCACCTGCATGCGTATAAAGTGAAACAAGTCATGTGTAAACAATACCCTATGATAAACGATATGTGTTTTATTATGGGGTGTGTGATATATTGCTGTTAGATATATTGTGCTGTCAAATACTTATGTTAATTTCCATGTATATGGAGGTACCGTTTATCCATCAGTCACCGCTCGTCACACTAGCGTGGTGTGTCTTTGTCGTCTAGCTAGGTAGCTCAGCAAGCTTCTCAACTGAAAGTTAAACCTGAGTGGTTTTCTCTTTATATTGTTAAACAATGGTAAACACTGTCTTGGTGGAAGTGCACTGGTATCTGCCAGCAAGCTACCTATCAGCAATGACCACAAACAAGAACAAATATTGCTGTTAAAAACACGTTAGCAAACGAAGCTTGGCTGCTATTAGCTAGTATGCTAGCCTGACTACACATACTAACCACCGGCTCTTTCTGTCATCGAAAGTTTACATCCTAGCAAAAGCTGATGTTTATATGACGGTGTTACACGGCTAACATGCTTTTAAAAAACTGCTTAGGTGTTCAACTTACTATGTTTGTTGTGCTGCGATCAAATCCAACGTTAATTTATATCAGTAGTTGCTAACAAACTGTGTTTGCTGTTGCTAGCAGCTCAGCTTGCTAGCTGTTGTTTTTCTTTCCAGCACCTCCGAGACAGTCCCAGTTCTCCGCTTACACCGCCCAGCCGAGGGGTGGCAGTGTGGCGCTTTTAACACAAGTAGAAGACTCTTCTTCCTGTATCTTTCATTTGGAAAGAGAGAGAGAAGGAGAGAGATGTTGATGTTTTGACAGGAGGATCCGAAATTTTGATTATCTGCTTAACAGCACTAGATATTGTGTTTTAATTCCAGAAATGTTGTCATTGAACTCTTTGCGGATTCTGTGCTCGTCCCGGGCTGCACTGCACCCGAACTGGCTGATGACGAACCGAGTCTCTGTTTGTAAAGCTGTTACATGTTCAGCACACTGGACGTCTACCAGCTTCCCCAACAAGGACACATGGCACTGCAACGTGAACACCAGAGCACCGGTGAAGGATAGAGGTTTAACTTACTCAACTAAACAAGCCAACTCACCAAGGAGTTATTGTACGGGCCAAATCAAACAGAACTGCTGGAACTGTAAACAATCTCTTGACAAAGCACAAGCATTCTTCTGCGTGTCATGTAATGCAGTCCAGCCCCCTGAGGAAGGGGCATCTTACTTCAAGATCATGGATTGGTGAGTGTCTTGTCTCCCTAACTATTACCCACTGTGTTATCCACATAAACATTTTATACATTCAATCTGTGACCTACACATTTCATGTTATCATGTGTTGCCTCTTTTCAGTGACTACACATTCGCACTGGACACAAAAAAGCTGCAGAAAAGATACTTGCAGCTCCAGCGGTCTCTGCATCCTGACAATTTCAGCCAGAAATCTGTGGTAGGCAGGGGGGGATGTAAAGGGGAATCTGACCAGAGATCAGCTGAGTGAGATGGTCTATGAGTCAGCGGAAGCTTTCCTATCTATTAGCAGTGGGACACAGGAAACTGAGTCTGACCCTTTGTCCCTATTAGGCCACTTGACTGTTCATTTTTGTGTTGTTAGTATAATTCATTGTGACTTGGCCAAGGAAATGATTCTGGGCAAAATTGAAAGATGGCTTTGTTAAAGTACGTTGTCAAGTGTTTCCCCCACAGAGCAATGTATCCTAAATTATGCAATCAAGCAAACAAGGCCAAGGAAAAACTAAACCACTGAGAAGATGAACGGCTATTGCCTATATGAGAAAAAATGGAAATAGAGTGACTGACTACAAACAGTAGTATAGTATAGTTTTAAATTTTATAGTATGATTGATATTTTGACAGGATTATTTAATGCCACCAATGATGGCTCATTTCTAATAACTATCCCAGTAGGAATTTCTTGTAAGCCAGCAGGCACCAATGCCAGGACCCTGGAACTGGTTTCCCTAAACCATTATTAATGTTATTAATTACACTTGACATCTTTACTTGTCTACTGTGAAAAGGGTCTATTACAAAATACAGTATGTTGTAACTTTTTATTTTAATAGTAAAGGTTAAGTAAGAGAAAATTCAAGTTTGACATATGGAGACCTTCCCATCCTCCATCTATCCATAAATTTCATAACTTTTGCTACAATCGATCTGTTGTGCAGGGAGAAATTATGACTCACATGTCCCAAAGAAACTGTGCAGTTAAAACTGAAATCCAATGTTTGACTTAAAAACATACTTGGGCAGAGGAGGAAAAGAAAGCAGTAGAAATTCCACCCCAAACCACCCAGCAAAGTTAATTATAGTGAAGCAGCTAATGACTACTTTCATTATTAATTCATATACCAATTATTTTCTTGATTAATCAGTTAATTATTTTGTTTATAAAAGTTCAGAAAGTGGGAAAAAATGCCCGTTATTTCCCAGTGCCCAAGGAAACGTATTCAAATTGCTTGTTTTACATGGCCAACAGCCCAAAACCCAAAGATAGTTAATTTACTACCATGAACAAAACACTTAAAATTCTCATCAGTTTAGAAGCCAAAACCATGAATGTTTGGCTGTTTTGCTAGAAAAACAACTGAAATAGTTGCCGATCAATTTTCCTGTTGATCAACTAATCGATTAATTAATGAATTACTTCAGATCCCATCAAATATATGGTGGATAACTGTGAACTGCACTTACCTCAGCCCTTTTATGTAAACATAAAATAAAATGTCTTAAAGCTGCAGACAGCAGCTTTGCTTGTACGTCACTCCATCTTGTAGAAAAAGGGGGAATATTAAATGAACTGTGTCTTAAAGGGGTCTAATTTTATGCGTAAAGGTCAGTTTCAAATTGTGAAGAGTGCAGTGAAAACAGTTGCATAATGTCTAATGTGGCAATGGAGGAGCTATGATTATGTCAAAGTGATGTCATCAGGGTTATTTTAGCTTGGACTATGAGACAATGAGAGTACAGAAGCCTGTGTTACAGACTGGTTAGTAGAAATTTCTAATTGCTACCAGATATGGCATAATGATATGTGCTGTTAAGTTGCATTATGGGAAATGTAGGATGCAGTGTTTTGGGAGCTTGACCCATACTAGTGAGGATATTTCAACCTCTGCTGCTTTAAGAAATGACATACAATATCATTAATAAAATGCGCAGGAAACTCATTGTGATTGAGGAAATAAATGTCTCTTCACTTTGATTTGTCTATTTTTATAAGCAGACAAGTGTAGCTCTCTAAAACCTGAATTTTGTGCAGAAAAATAGAAAATTTGATTTGAGGTACTTGGTAAATTGCACTCAGCCGAAAGTCCAGTTAGGGTGATGAGAAAAATAGGACTATATTTTACATAAAATTCTTGACTAGATCAGTTTGTCACAGAAAAAAATAAGACCTAGAAATAAGACCGATGCATCTATTGCAGCTTAAAGTTTAATGTGTTTATAAGTTATTTTACAAAGTAGTAAACAGTGGACAAAAGTTTCACGTCATCCAGTTTCCCCATCGAGAATCATTTTAAGAAACTGTATTTAAGAAAAATAAGTATTATGGATACAAGGAGGAGCAGAGGTCTTTTGTTTCACATGTAATTTATTCTGTACACTTGGGTGGAAAAGCACAATGCAGAATGTTGTCAGGATATGATATGAAAGCTAAACTCATATTCAGCAGAGTGTGAGAGAGGAGAGCTTGCCTAAATGGTTTCCTCACACAACCTGTCCAATATTGTACTCACTGTGTTTTATTTATCAGCACCTCTGGCCATTTTTTCTTAATTAGACATCCTCCAGCCTCAGGGGTCTTCATCATATATAGAAAACTCATTACTTATACAAGGCTACAAGGCAGCCACCTACTGCACTGGTTGTTATTACAGAAACAGCTCCACATGATGGGCCCATGGGCCAGAGCTCGAGACTATTGATTTTCTCGAGCGCTGACAGACCTGATAGCTGCAAAATGTACTCAGATCTGCCAACCATTTCCAAGATATTTTCCTTCCCGACTTGTTTCAACACATCTGTCGTGTCAAACTTCCACCTGCATCCCTTGAAGGGTCCCAAACTGCTCGACTACAAAAGAGAAGCTGTATGTCATACACCTAATTGACAGAAGCGCCAAGGACTTGGTGTTTAGAAAATTGACAGTGGTATAGACTGGGATGGCAAAGTGTAAAAATACCTCAGATTTTATTGCCTTTTGATGTCTAATTCTGGATAATGTGGAATATTTGTTATTCAAAATGCAAAGCCTGTTAGTCAAAAATCACCACTGTACTGATTTTCTTCCCCTTTTTTTTTTTTTTTTTTTTTTAAGGAATGAATACAGACTGAACTTGTCATAATTAGAAGCAAAACTCAACAGAACCTTCTTTTGCAGAAAGAACAGGAGTATTCAGAAAGCCAGTCGTCTCTTGTGAACAAAGCATACAAGACGCTGCGTAAGCCTTTGAGTCGCGGTCTTTACATGGTGAGTGTGAAGTTTCTGCCTCTGCTTCTAATGAACAGTTTATTTTCATAACTTCAAGCTCTGTCTGTCTTATCTCTCCTGTTCAAGAGAGACATCTTTACCATCTGACGTTCAGGAGTAGTGACATGCTTTTAAAGGAGCAGTGGAGTTTGATGAACTACCGTCCTATGTTTCAGCTGGAGCTGGAGGGGATGAGTATAGAAGAAGGCACCGACTCCGGGGCTGATGCGGAGTTTCTAATGGAACTGATGGAGATCAATGAAGCACTTGATGAAGCACAGACCCCAGAAGAAACCAATAAGATCGCCCAAGACACCAAAGGTAAAGGAATGTCTTTTCAATTTATGTAGTCAAAGTCTTCTTGAGTAACTTGAAGCTAATTAATGAGGATAATTTCAGACAGGTGGACAAGAACAAGTCCCCGGTTAATTGGTGCATACACATCAGCTATTTCATATTTTGTATTATGTATGAAACAATATTAGCAATACAAGCATATATAACCTTGAGCATGCGGAGGAGACGTGCTTTAATTTAGGGGTTAAAGTTGTAAAGATTGCAGTTCTGGTTTATTTGGTGATACCTGTGGTTACCATGGTAACAGCTACACTACAGACAACGCTCCTTGAGCAGCTACTTTGTCAGAAATGCAACAGAAGAGCAAGTGGTGAATGTGTTTACAGTACAACCAAACAAACCCACCACTAACAATAAAACTGCTAGAAAGGTAAATACAGAATTAAATTGCAGAAATTAAACATCGAATGGCTAATGCGGAACAAAATAGACCGTAAATAGCATACTTTTTGGGAATAATTGCCTACCTTTTGATGTACATTGCGCTGAAGGTTAAAAATCTAACAGTAATCAGTGATGCATACATGACAGATCTACAGTATCCTTGTCTATATTTGTCTGTTCAGTATAATTGATTGAACTCAACTGCTGGATGACGCACACGTCAAACTGTGTTAACACAATATTTCTCTTTGATTTTTCTAATGTTTTTTTTTTTTTTTGTTTTTTTTTGTTTTTTTTTACACTGCAAATCAAGCAGTAACTCTTGAGAGGCGAGTGTGCTTTTGCATTTCTAGGAGTGATAAAGTCTTGTTGATGAAGTCTTGTTAACATGTGCAGAGC